CATCTTGAGGCCAAGTGCCTTAGCAGCAGGAGGCGCCGGCTTGATCAGCACTGCTGCCTTCACACCTTCAACGCCTTCCTTCTTCTCCTCAGCCTCTCCCTTTCCTGCCTCACCCTCACCCTCAACCACTACTTCCTTCGCCTCGCTCACTCCAGCAGCCGCTTTAGCCTTGACAGCAGGAGGAGGAGGCATCTTGAGGCCAAGTGCCTTAGCAGCAGGAGGCGCCGGCTTGATCAGCACTGCTGCCTTCACACCTTCAACGCCTTCCTTCTTCTCCTCAGCCTCTCCCTTTCCTGCCTCACCCTCACCCTCAACAGCTACTTCCTTCGCCTCGCTCACTCCAGCAGCCGCTTTAGCCTTGACAGCAGGAGGAAGAGGCATCTTGAGGCCAAGTGCCTTAGCAGCAGGTGGCGCCGGCTTGATCAGCACTGCTGCCTTCACACCTTCAACGCCTTCCTTCTTCTCCTCAGCCTCTCCCTTTCCTGCCTCACTCTCACCCTCCACCACCGCTCCTTCCCCTTTGCTCAGTCCAGCAGCTGCTTTAGGCTCTGCATACGGGACCCTCGTGTGTTTTGAGAGTGATGTAGGAAGTGCATTGGTCGTCGTTTTCTTTGTGTGGTTTATGGCTTGGACGATTGGTACGTGAGGGGTGTTGGGGTCATCCTTGGTAATCGTGTTTTGTGTGCCTATACTCGTATCTGTTGTGCCTTCTGCGCTCTCTACATTCTGAGGTGATAGGGCGCTGGTGGCTGTTTCCTCATTGCGTTTTGCAGGTGGTGCCTGTGGGCTTGTTTTGGCGATTGTTGCTGCACATTCAGCTGCTTTAGGGGCCTGCTGGACAAGAGTTTTTGCCTCTTCTTTGGTGTGGATTGAGGCAGTGACACCAACACTTGGCGGCGCCAGGCGTCCTGCACTGAGAGGAGGCTTTGCTTTACTTTTGGGTGCACGGCGTCCCTCTTTGCTGATAACAATGGTGGTGTTATCGGGCAGTGTACGCTCCACAAAAGTTGAGCTGTTTGATAGCTGGCTTGCCAACAGCTTCGCTAGAGGAGACGGAGAAGACTTCTGAGTTGATTCCTCAGCGGAACCTTCTTGTTCTTCAGAAGACCAGCTGGATTCAGACTCAGAATCTTGTGCAACATCCTTTTTCGAGCCAACCTCGCCTGAGGCAGCAGGTACTGGGAGTTCCGCAGCCACTTCATGAGGCTTGGAGGCCCTCACAGGCCTTGACTTTGCTCTTTTTAATTTAATGACTTCACGTACATCTAATGAATTGCTACGGAGGGTCTGAGTCTTATCTTGATCGCGTCGGGTGTCTTGTGTGGCGCCGATGGCTTCACTAGCGTGCATGAGGTCCTCAGGTGCTGCGATACAACCAGACGTAGAATCCGCCTCACCCGAGTCAGGCATCGTCCCATCCTTGAGAGAGGGTGATTCAAAGTCGCTCACAGTCTCGTAGTGCTCCTCGTTTTTCCATATGTTCCCGAGCGCTTCTGAGCTTTTGATTTCAGTGCTGCTGCCAGGACTTCGGCTCTCCGCAGAGCGCTGTTGTAGTCTTGGGGGGACAGCTGTGGAATCTTCCAGCGATTCGGCTGATTCAGAACTATAGATAGTGTTACCAGTGGTGCCAGCTTCCTCTTGCGTTTCTGTGCCCCATGTTCGACTTTGTGTGGTTTCTAGGCTTGCACTGGAACTCTGAGGAAGGATGCCGTCTGACACTCCACGCTGCGGGTTGCGTTCGCCGATCCAAGAGGCGGCCCCGTCAAGTAACCCCCATCCAAAGCTCCTAGGAGTCGCAGCATTCTCTTCAAAACTGGGCTTCCTTGCCTCTAGTGTGTCTGTGCTCTTACGTGAAGGCCCGGGTATCTCTTCGCTTGTCGAGAATTTCTCTGTAGATGAAGCCTCAGCACCACTTGAGGTACCTGTTATCTGGCCCCATAAGTTCCACCCTGACGCACCCTGAGGCGAATCTGATTGTTGCACTGCTGCAAACCCTTGCCCGCCATCTTGCACTCCTCCACTGGCTGACTCCACCGACGATAAGTGCAGGGGAGCCGGTTCGCCCTCACCTGAAGATTCTGCTTCAGATGAAGCTGAACTACCAAGATCTGTGCCTATGTTTTGCCCAACCGCAGCAAGCTGGTTCCAAAACTGCCAGGGTGAGGAGGTCTCCGGGGGTTGCTCCGGCGACTGTTTGTCTTCTTGGCTTTGACTGTGCTCGAGTGACTCAACAGAGGAGAGCCTCAGTGAAGCCTCATCCGTGTCATCAGATTCGTGCTTCTCCTCGGTAGGGGCAAAAAACCACATATTTTACGATGCGCTGTAAACCAATGAGAATTGCTCAATTTGTGGTTAATGGACTGGACTGACCAGGCAGACCATGGTGAGGAGAGCCCACAGGCGCCCACTTAAACACCTTCCACTAATAGCGAAGCAACAGAAGACGAGGGAAGTGAAAAATTAGCCTGAATTTGGTAATGCCTACAGTATGTCTCATCTGGCGTGGGCGAAGTTGGTGGTCTCCGGGTTCCGAGTTAAGGAGGGACTTCGGGAGACTGAAACCCCAGTCTAGTGGTCAATAACCCCCGTAATAGCTAAGACCTCCCCCTATGTAAAATGCGCTTAAATTTCACAGTGTGTGAACGGTTAACCAAGCCCTCAGACACTGCAACAGCGATCCGGACTGTGGACTGATGCCCCTGCAGACAGCTGGGAAGGAATGCACTGAGACGAGCTGTATCGGTGTTGGCATATTCTCGTGCTGCGCAAAATGCTAGAGCGCTTTGAGTAAAAGGCACGATCCTGAGACTCATTGCTGTCTCGATCTGCTACGGATATCACGCATTAATGTATAAATGCCGTCCGATCCGTCAATCGGCCGTACTCCATATCGCCCAGGTAGGAACCGGGGTCCACCCTCTATTGTGAGAAACCGTGGTAATGGATAGCTTTGGCCAATATAGAAATACACTAATGCTACCTGTTATTCAAAATTCTCTACTGATGGGCCTACATCTTGACCTGCAGTGATGAATAGGCAGCTGATCACTGAGTCTCGTATTCGATGAAGCACGGTACAATGCTGCACAGCATCGCGGCCCATCTGGCATCGGCTCCGAAAGCTGCTGCAAAGCTGATTACGGAATTGGCTTTCATTCGAGATGGACATTCTGTTTCTTGAGGCTGACGCATGGAATGGACCTCTACCTGTGGACCAGTTGCTCCCCGCTTCGTAAACCTTTGAGAGGCAATGGCTATGCCTTTTCTGAAAAGTACCTGTCCTACAGAGTCCTTGAGTGCAGTGCATCAGGGTGGGCCAAATCGCCACGGTAGAGTATGCAGCCTTCACCTTGGTGGTTGTAATAAGATACAGACACTTTGGTCATACAGGTTGTGCAACAGGCATGCCTAATGAACCGACCAGAAGGATCGTGAATATGAGTACATCTTTGTTCGCCATCCCACATAGATATGAATCCTTCCTTTATCAGGCCATTCTTTGAACAGTAGGAAACGCGAGGTCCCTGATACCTGAACAGATGTTGCCGATTTATCCAATAGACAAGGACGAGGCTGCTGAGCCAGCAGCTCCTCAATCCAGGAGTGTAGGCTTACCCTGTACACAGCCCTGTATTAGAATAGAGGCGCTTAACATACATAAATGATATAGAATGCGATCTACTCTATTGGTCATTACCTTAGACCAACAAAATTCTACTAGAAGCTAAGACCGCCCTACCATGAGGCAACCAGTGGAACAGTTCCACTGGCTTACATGTATTCCGTTTTAGGAAAGCAATGTACCTTCATCTGGCATTGAGATGCTTATGAATGTGACTGACAAAATATTTAGAAATCGTCCAACGCGGGAGTGAAGCAACTAGCAAGCTAGCTTCACTATACCCACTTTAAAGGCTAGCATGCTGAGTTGGGCGTTTAACGAAAAAGTAGGTTGACCGAGTGTCCCTCCCCAAGCCTCCATGAACAAACCTAAATGAAACTTTTGAAAGGGACACACATATGCACTATCAGGCTACACATATGAATATACTGAGAAGCACACAGCAAATCTGCTAACAAGCGGCCCAGCTGAAATGCCGTCATCTCACACAAGAGATAAAAATTAGCTGAGCAAAAGTTGATGTCACGGACTGTGAAAAGATTCTAGAACCGTTTGCATTGCCGTGAACAATGAAAGTCAATAGTAGATAAAATCTCCCAGGAAAACTGGTGCGACTTTTTTGACAGCATCATGTCCTTGTGTGTAAGCAAGGGCAAAGAAATTTCTCTACAACCGGAACATAAATATAGCGATTTTCATGCTTGAGCACGTAAGAGCACAACGATGCTGTCCAAGTTAATCGTTAAAGAGAAAATATGCAAAATGCGTCAGATTCCAGCATTTAAAATGGTTCTGGTACAAATCCACCGTATTTTGCTTGCTTTACCCACATATTCTTCACTGTAAGTGCCAGTGAGCACTTCGGAAAGTTTTTCCTGAGTGTCGCTGGAATGTTTGATGTAAGCGTTCTAGAATAAGGGACTTAGGTCAGAATGTATTACAGGCAGCGTACAGGATGCTTAGGAGGCCCTGCTTGTATAGTGGAAGAGCCAGTTGAGCAACGAGATAGGACCCCATGGCAAAATACTGCAAACTATTCTGCTCGTTGAGTAGCTGCTTGCACCAGTGGATGTCGGGGAGAAGGCTGGGGTGTGCCCCCCCACTTAGGCGGCAGTTCCGGAGTTTGGTGAGGCGGAACTGTCAGAATAGGCGCTCCTCTCCACTCTTCCTCTTGATGGCCTCGAGGAATGTACCTATAAAGGAGAAGATACATATCCAGCATAAGACCAAACAGCCTACAAGATGGCCGCAGCGCCCCCTGCAGGGGTATATGGCAATCGACAGAAACGTGAACGGAAAGCGGCATTCGACGCCAAGATTACAAGCTTTGAGGAGCTCCTTTACGAATCGGATATAATTAGGCAAGCTGGGGCATTGAAGCATAAAATTCGGTTCTTTATAGCAGAACCAGCTCAGCAAACTCGTCGAAAAAGGCTAAGCGTGGAATTACAGACAAAGCTGGTCGGCTGAATTCATCTGGGCACTGCAGACCGTTGACGCTTCTTCGATATTCCGAGAAAAGCGCCACGCTGCTCGACCAGAATGAAGCGGTGCTTTTATGCAAGTCTCATGCGGGCATTCTGCCCAATACATACTTTATTATTTCCTCTGGTTCGTGGATGGTCCTGTAGCGAATTACTTCTTCTACAACCGAAACTTCAACAATCTTCTCTACCCACTTCTGATGGAACACCGGCTTTTCTACGATATTTTCCCTTATTTCAACTTTGGGAACCACCTTGGTATTGTATATTACCTCTGGTACCTCGACAACCCGCTCAACCCATTCAATTTGTGGGACTTCGACAATCTGTGGAGGGAGAGAAATACACTTCTGCGCATATCCAATGTGACAGGCGTGGCCCTATCAGGAACAAAACATACTGTCTACCCGCCTTCACCCAAAGTCCCTGTATAAGCCTTCTGAAAGTCAAAATGCAACAACTTTACGCACATCCAATGGATGTTCGGAAAGTCCTCCGATTTCCTACCTTCTCTATGTACTTGGGCACCAATTTAGGCACTTCAACAATCTTTTCGCGAAGCACCGGCTTCGGCACGAAAACGTCCACAGTCCGAGTGACTGGCACTTCCACCGTCCTCGTCACGACGTCTACGGGCTGGTACGCAGTAACTGCCACCTGAAAGCACACAGAAAACATACCCTCGATCTCTGTTTTCACGGAGCGCGGTGAAGCACCAATTAGGATGAGCATTGAGGACTACATCTTGGCCTACCCGAGTAGTTCTGTGAGCGCTATACTCTGTAATCTGAGAACCCTGTCATGGAAGCCACAGTCGGCAGGGACAGTATCGGCAAGAGAGTAGGACGCCGCAGACGGCCACAAAGCTCACCCATTCCCTAGTGCTCCTAGAGGATTCCGCTGGAGTGTTAAGCCCCGCGACTCCTGGACGATCTGATAATCGATCCGGAGCTGAGCTCATTGGAGGTCCAAATCGTTCCCATGCAAGCGAATTCGCTCCTGGGAATTCTCTCAAATTACCAGAGGGTGAGAGGAACAGGTCTTGGGGCGGTGTTTTCAGTGGATGACGTTCTCCACAGGAGGCCATTGGAGTCGGTGAACGACTCTCTCTGTCGTTTTCTGGTCGGCTGTCGCCGAAAACTCTACTGGGGAAAAGATCAACTGGCGGCCCATTCCACTGGCGGGAAATATCTGGCCTCGCATAACCACGTTGCCCATGCCCTCCCCGATTATCCATCTTCTGTGGACTTCAGAAACAGTTAAAGCCTCTTCATAATTGGCAGAAAATTTCCGCACGAGGGAAGATAGAGATCAGATCTCTGGCGCTGCGCAGCGCGGGGACTTCCCCCTCCCCTGCACCGGCACCGAAGGGTAGTTAACACAAAAGCGGGTGCCGTGTCTACCAAGATGGCAAACACACTGAAGCACGTGCCTGAGGCTGGCCTGTTTGGGAGGGCAAACAAATGCAGAAAAGCTGTTCCACCGAGCAGAGTTCCAATACAACTTAAATTTTATCATCCAAGCCGGGAGCTGGGGGGGAATCTCTTTAGGGCTTCTTCTTAAGATCTCTTCAGCAAAGAATTAAACTTCAGAAACAGGAATGTGCAGAAGTTTATCAATCCGTAGTCAAATAAATGGCTTCAACAGCCCTGCTCCGCTGCCCTTTTTCTTCGCCCTCCATTGCAGAGCACCCATCGCATTCGCATCTAAAGGCAATGACTAAACGCCAGAAGTTCAAGCCAGGGAATAACACCAAAAAACAATAAATAATACTGGTGGACCTGTCGTCACTTTGCTGGCAACAGCAGCCCCATGAACTTCGCAGCCTTCTTGAGTCGATTCGACGGTGGTCGCCTGCAGTATGCGGGAAAGGGGGCTTTCGAACGCAGCGGTTCACTTGTTTCGCCTCGTCGCAGTATGGTATCTGCTTCTTTTTACCGCTATTTGGTCCCAGTTTGCCGGACTATTTGAGCACTTCAAGACCAGTGCAGTGGCGCATTTGGGGCGGCCCGAGGACCAGGCTCGCTGTCGGCAGTGGGCCGCGATGCGATATACAGCGTGAATTCACAACACCATTGATCCTTGTCATTAGTACACCAAGAATCACGCATTTAAATATCTCTGGGAAGGCTGAAGGTAATCTGTGTCGTTTGCCGAGATGCCGGTCACAGTGGCCTGTTGCATCACTGCTCGTTACAAAGTCCCCAAGCGCGTGCGTTCCTAAGGCTCTAGAGCCTAACTGCATAAAAGGCATTACTGTGGAGGTACGAGCGTTCAATGGGAGAAGCCAATTGCGTTTAGAGCAGCACAATTTCACCGGGCCCGAAAGCTGTTACACTGTTACAAGTTTAACCTGAATTGCGGATCAGCACGAGAATGAAACCAGAAAGCCAGGTGCCTTCATCCTTCAATGGTTTTCCGGGGCGCAGTGGCTTACAAGGAAATCCCCCTCCTGGAGCAACTGTGCTGCAGCCAATTGTAGAAGTACGTTACCCAAATACAAACGCTTTGATCAGGCAAAGTGTTGCCCCTGCAGGTGCACAATGCCGCTTGGGAAATAGTTTCGCATACAGAACAGCCCCATCACCCATGATTGTGGTGGCCTCTCTCAGGAAAGAGTTCGCGAAGTGGTCAAAGAACGCGTGGAGAACAGGTACATCGAAGTGCCACAAGTGTACTATGTTGAAAAGGTCGTGGAGGTCCCCCGAGAAGTACCCGAGGAAAAGATCGTACGGGTTGTGAAGCCCGTGAAGAAGGAGGTCATCAAGTACGTCAAGAAACCTGTATACGTGGACAAGTTTGTTGAAGTTCCAGAGATCAAAGTAAGATGGTGTGCCCAGCGGACCTCTGCCTACGAGGATGTGTTCACAGCTGCCCCACCGTACACTCTCGAGATTAATGCTTTATGTTGTACACAGTACTTGCCTATATAGGAATACTGGGATATATCGATTTCTGGTAGCAAATGATTCTGCACCGTGTGTTGTGATTCCAGTATGTGGACAAAATAATTGAAGTCCCTCGATACGCGATAAAGGAAAAAATAGTTGAAGTTCCCAAAATACTTGTCATTGAACGCATTATTCCAGTCTTGAAGAGCTACAGAAAAGAGCAAGTAGTGTCTGTGGAGCCTGAAGCTCAAGTAAGTCCTTTGATTAGAATCGACGTAATCGTTAGATTGGGCAGAATGCGATAATGCCGTGGGGCTACTTTTTTAGAGAGGCAGAGCAAAGCCTGTGCCACTGTGCTGGCAGATACCGTTTGGCGGTGCGCTTGCGCCTGAATTAGATGCCACGCATAGGAATCAGCCCAGAGGACAACCAAATGATAGGGTTCCGAAGACTCAGGCGCTCCCTCCACTGTGGGGCCCCGAAGCCCTCTCTACAAGCTCTCCAGTGACACATGTTCCAGGACTTCGCAGAGACCCCTCAGATATGCCGCCCAGGCAAGGATCCTTTGCAACAGAAGCCACAGCGGTACGGAAGTCTGCGAGCGGGCCGCCCTTTGCCGTTGGCCCTCCGCAGTTGGGAACACCCTCCCCCCACTTACTGCATGAAAATACTGCGTCATCCATCAATTAGCCCGGTAACCGCCCAGCGATGTAGGCGCATGGAAAGACAGCATATGCTGGGAGGCGGCATACAGAAAGAGAATTATACATTTTTGGAATGAATTTGCGCACGATAAAAACTAAAGGCAGTTGCTTGATGCCCCCTGATTCAGCCCGGAGTGTTGGAGTGTCAATCTCCCAGGCGCTACTTTTCGAACCGTGTACTATCTTGTGAATGCAAATATCAACATTAAAATATTGTACACATACTGATTCCGCATCAAGCGACAATTTTACTAGCTCGTCAGGTATTCTAATTCGGATGGGGAGTGGTTGTTCGAGATGCTTTAGGGTGCCTTGACCCTTTAACATCCCTCGGGCCAACAAGAAGAAAGAAGACACTTCATTTGCCTTTTATTTAACCATGTTAAATTTCACCATCAGCTCTCTAGTGGCAAGAAAAAATGTCTCCTAGTCCCCAATACCCCATGAATATGCTGTATACAAGCAGTGCTCTGTACCCCGGCGAGATGCGGAGTAGCGCAGCCTTGGGCCGGTCATAAGTCGAGTTCAATAATGCGACTTAGGTCTTGCTCAAGCTTCCTGAAGCACAACGCATGGACGGAGAGGCTGCAAGCGCATAAGGGTCGGTTGGCCGCCAGAGTGTGCACATCTATACTTGAAAGTGGCTTCCCTAAATATAGTACACCGCTATATCTAGCAAAAACAGTTCAAAACGCGTTGATGTTGATAAATGGAGAGAGGCTGGCTTACTCTAAAACAGCATCTGCACGTTTCTTTGTCACAAAAGTGCCGCCTCCTTGTGGTGAACAAGGAGCGCCGAATGAGGGGGCCTTTAAATTGCCATCATGACGCAAGAGTTTTCTGTGGGCGAGGAAGGTGCTGACCAATGCCGCCAGCTTTGGAAAGGTGTAGAACAGCGGGAAGATGATGGGCACCGCAGCGGCGACAAACTCGCATAAAGGGCGTGACTCTGACACCCACGGACAGACGCGACCATTGCTATGCCGTTTCAGACACAAATTCGCTCTTCAGCACACGTCATCCAGCCAACAGTGCTATAATTCGCTGTTCTACACCTCCTAGCTTATTGCAGGGAGTCTGCTTTCAGGCTTTCTTTATCATGAAGTGCCGTATTCAGCCGTTTGATTAAATCGGAACAGTAGAGAAAATCATGCGTTGCAAGCCCATGGAAGCATCCTCTACCTGGCATGCCTTGCTTGCCTTCTGCGCTTACCGTGAAACTCGGAGTGCTTGATGGCCTCCAGGAATACAGCGTTTGCATTCTCTGATGCGAACGATGGATCAGTTTCGCGAGTCTCCCCAGGATATGGGCGGTTGTCTCTCAGGTCGCACGCAACACAGACTACACATTTGAGGTAAAAGAGACAGAGATCTACGCGACTCATTGGAGCCAACGCCGGGTGCACAGTAACCGTCTGATGCGCCTTGATCCGTACGCCATCCGCCGGGCTGCAACCATCGCGTGTCAGCAAGTACACATCATTAGATACACACAAGTTGAGTAGCCTCTTTTATTCACTGAACTACGCGATTTGCGAGGAATATACAAAGACGCACAGGCTATGTGTTTTGCATAGGCATGCGGGGTGGGTATGCCCGGAGAGGTTTTCTGGTGATTGGTTGCTGGCGTGGCTATGCAATGCAAATGTGCTCGCCCCGCAGCGTACTCAGACTTCGGATCATCTTGCAACGTCGAGACGGGGGTGCCAGCTGTATTCCCTTGTTCTGATGTTGCATCTTTCCCTCTTCCCTCAGACTTTGTTTCCCAGAAAAAGGCAGCATTCTGCCGGAGCAAACGGCAAAGAAGAGGCAACAGACGTTGCACTTCTTTCGTGCACCGACAAACCTGATCGACTGCTTCGAGGGAGAAGCCGGAGGCGAAGAGGGCATCAAGGCTCTGAGGTCTCCTGTTCGCCTGCCGGTCCAAAAATCTTCCCACCAATTCCCATACTGCTTCGTCTTCTGCAAAGCAACAAGCCTCTATCACAACCTGGAAGGCAGCTGTTTCCTGCGAACAGACATACACAACCGTCAGCTCCACGTGCATAGCAGACTCCGCAGCCTACAGCGGCTCACGGCCGCTAGCCGTCTCTACGAAAGCAGCAATACTATTTTCCAGGAAATAGATAAGCAGCTTGCTCCCTATTACCCCACGGACTGCTTGCGTATCTACACCCATGAGCTGAGCATGGCACGCCACGTCTAAACGCCCGGATCCCGTAGGACCGACGCTAGTTGGAGGCGCACAATGGGGTTTTCCAAGGGAAAGCAGAGAAAACTTTCATGTAACAATCTGACTTGAATTAGGGCATACCTGTAGCTGTACGATTTCGTCTGCTGCTATTGGCTCGGGTAGACGCCCTGGAAGGGCCGGAGGCCCCATGTAAGCGTATGTTTCTAATTTTAGCAAGAGCGTTAGGATGACTTCAGCCAAAACGTTTGCTGTCAGCAGCTTCAGGATCACGTCCGCGGGAAGGTGGAGCAAGAGGTTCAGAGGATTTTGGATGGTGCATAAGTAGTGCGCATCAAGCATGGCCTCTGTAAATCTGGGAACCTCGGGAACGGCCTTCAACGGAAGCTCTGCAGGGACGTCCTCGGCAACAGGGCTCCAATCCAGGCTGCGAGAGGGCTTGGGGGGGGATTCACCATGCCGTTCAAAGAAAGCATCGATTAAGCAGCACACAGCGGCAGCAACACCAGCCAGAGGTTCGCTTGCCAGATACAGCTGCAACTCCTCACAGTCAGCCTCGAGAGTCGCAGCCGTTGCGGAAGACTGCAAACAAGCCCTGAAGCACGGGAGCATTACCAAGCACAAATTCAACCAAAAGCGCTCAGGGCCTGCTGTGGATAAGGCGCAGTTTATCCTTCACCAGCTACAAATAAAACCTGTACGTATTCAGTCTGCTGTGCAGCCCTGAGGCAGATGCAGGCGTTGCCGCATATGGAGCTTAGGGCAGCATGGCTGTCCAGGAGGAGCCATTCCAAACGAAATGGGTAGCACCGTGTCATCTACATAGCAGGATGATCAAAATAGCGTCACGTCTCAAACGAATCAAAGAGCGAGAGAGAGAAAAGGACAGAGAAGGGGGGGATGGCTTTCTGTGAGCCGTGTAGTGCCTTGCCTGCACAATCGTCGGGTCCAAAGGGAGACTCGGAGTTGCACTTCAGCCGCCGAAGGCAGTCGCAGATTCTGCCGCAATTCAAAGGCGTCCGGGGTGTCGTGCTTGCAGGCGAGATTTCCAGCGGTCCAGGTGGCAAGGGGGAAAGGTTCTAATGCAAGGCTTGCTGCTGCCCTGAGCAGACGGAGGGGCACAAGCTGGAAACGCGGGCTTTGCGCAAGTGAAGCAACAGCATGCAGCAAAGGCGGTACGGTGGGGCTCTGCTATAGAGAATTGGGGGAAGGCTATCGATCTAGGAAAATATCGTTTTTGTGCAATTAGAGAGCACCTGGAAATGGGGTCTGCCAAGTCGGCTTCGGCGAGAGCAGCGGGATGCAGATTTTCGCAGGGCAGCAGCTCTGAAGGGGTGAGAGGAGGCAGAGGGCCCTCAAGAAGGGATGCCTCGGGCAGGCAAGACTGCAGAGCCTCCGAGAATAGCCGCAGCATCCCATGGCTCAAGGCGGGGCTGACAGAGAAGCAGCACAGAACGAGAAGACCCCGCACAAACAGTGCTTCCGCGAGCAGAGCATATGAGACAGTCAGATTCGCAAGCAGTGAAAATCCTGAAAGAAGAAGTCACGGCTGGACAAGGTACGGTTAGAGACCGGACGCGACGGGCATGAAGGCTGAAATGATGGCAAGAGAGGAGAGCAGAGCAGAAAATTTGGAGTCAAATCATGGGGAGCAGAAAAAACAGGATGAAAATAGGATGGGAAGGAGAAAACGCACTGGGAAGACACAAAGTGGACAGCCGAGTGCCACGGCAAGGAATGGAGCCGGCGTAGATACCGGCCGTCACGAGCTGCAGCCAAGACACCATAGGATAAAGACAGACGAGCAAAGCGTCATCCACGCTGGAGAGGTAGTGGAATGGACGTTTGTAGAGAGGTGCCCTTACAGCGCCTTCAGGCCACACCAAATGCACGCGAACTGCAGGGATGTGAAGCCACACCAGCAGCAAATGACCCAGCAGCGAGTGCAGCAGCAGTGCAGCTAGCAAGACGCGAATCTACAGGTGGGGCATTTGGCTGCGGCCAGCCGCTGCACAGCGCCGAATGCGGAGCTGCCAAAGCCAACTGACACGCTGGGGTGTGCAGCAGCCAACAGACGCACACACAGCTGCATCGCCAGGTGCCGCCGAAGTGGTGATAACTGCAGTAGATAGAGTAACTGTCGACATTTGCTATGGGTGCTGCGGCTTGAAACTAGCCATGCCAACGCCAAAGATGTAACAGACAGCTCACCCCTGAAGTAGGGAATACTGTGCATTCTTGCGACAAGATACAGGAGCATCAAAGCCAAGCAGCTGCAGGCCACGCCTTCCCGTTCGGCTGCTGCAGCCTCTATCCCGCCTAGGAGAGACGCTGCGGCAGCCCCGACGCTGGGAAATGCATGGCGTTGCAGGGCAAGCAGCACAGTGGGGTAATCCTGAAACGCGACGCAACATGCCGCAAGCTGGCGAGTCATTTAGGAGCACTTAGAGCACACCCCAGAGCCAATCAAAGCCCGAATTCACGCAGAACAGCCCATACACCGTCAAGTGCAAGGAGAGACTAGAGGACTAGGCGTGCAGACAAGTACTAGAAGTGCAACAGGCGTTTGCTGCTGCATCACGGAGACGGAGACGCAAACAAAGGCACAAACTATACTAAAGCAGACGCATGTTGTGCATACACAAGCTATGGGGCACCTCCGCCTGTAGAGTTGCCCCGAATAGGAGGTTTGACTCGACGCGCTGAGGGGAAGTGACCATGAGATGTGCTTGCTTGGCATTTTGTACGCTGCTGCTGTTGCTCACTAGAGGAGACCAAACAGTAGGGATGAGAACTTTGGCAGTAGGTGCCGTGTGGCCTTCCAAGAAGGTGGCAAAGGAAGCGACGAGATGCATCCACCGCTGGAGGCCCCCGTAGGGAAGTCCAAAGAAGCCTCCTCCCTCTCCCTGCCCTTGCTGTTTCAGAACCTCTCGAGGAGAAGAGCACAGAGCGGCAGCAAACGCTTCGCGTCCGCACTGACACACGAAGAGCAGGCACTGCAGAGAGAGCAGAAAATCAGGGCCACTCTCCTGGGCCTCTCCCTCCTTTGCCTCCACCTCTTCGCCCCCGGCGCAGTATGAGGGGACAGAGAGCCCCTCCTCCCACAGCGATCCGCAAGAAGCACGGGAGCTTTCGACATGATCCGGGGGTGAGTCGCTCAAAGGCGACAAAAGATCGGTGAAAGAAGCCGCTGCTGAAGAGATGTGCGCGGTGAGAACCTCTCGGACGGCCTCGTTCTCCTCGTGCTGCTGGAGGGGGGGCTGCGTTGTCTGAAGGCCCCACGCCTGCCAAGCATCAAGGAACCCCTGAAAGACGAACGCGAAGAGCGAGTGGTTGGCGGCTCGAAGAGACAGGAAGGGCGAAACTGGCAGCGTGCGCGGGAGGAGGCTTCTGAGAACTGCATGTATCTCTTCGCTTGACGAGAGGGGGCCCACGAGGGGCGGCCCAACAGACACCAAAGGAGGGGGGCCCCCAAGCCCCTGACTGTAGAGCAAAACCCCCAGGCGCTGCGTCAGCTCTTCCCACGTGTCCTGGTGCCGAAGGCTCTCGCCCAGCATGAGACTGCAAGCGCTTGTGAGGGCCCCCACCTCGGCCTCCCTCTGGGGGCCCCTCTCTGCCCGAAGGCAGCAATGCCGCAACCCAAGTAGTGTCGCATGGGCCAGGGATGCACGCAGACGGGACGCTGTCCGTGCATGCGCCTTGTTCAGATCTATCAAGCCGACAATCTCAGCTACAGCGAAAACGCCCCACGTGGCTCCACACAGGTCGTAAGGCGTCACTTTGGTGAGCTCAGTGGCCAAAGCAGCCGCTACCTCTGAGCACGGAGGGCCCCCTTCCCCTACCACCTCTGTGGCTGCTTCCTCTAAAAAATGCAGTAAGGCATCCGCAACAGCCGTCTCTTCGGTCAGCTGGACTGGCACGTCTCCGCCTCCCCTCGCGTGCGAAGCTCCTGATGCATCGGGCGCTGCTGATGAAGCAGGAACAGCAGCTGCTGCGGCCAAGAGTCGCTGCGTTTGTTGTTTCTCATAGTCAAAGCAGAAGACGTAGTAGCTCAGCAGCAATTCGGCCTTGTGGTGCGGGGGGCCCCCTTTCCTTCTGAGAACGGCTCCCAAGAGGCCTGGTTTGAGGGCCCCTTGATGTCCGTGGGGGTTGTCTGCCCTGGAGAAAGCTCCCGGAGGGGCCCTAAGGGCAGCCAGCGACAGCGTCTTACGCGCAGCCGCATGCAGCAGCGTCTCGGCGGAAGGGGCCAATGCGAGCTGAAGAGCAGCTACGGGCGAGGAATGAAGAGGGAGGTCTGGGGAGGACAGAGAAGCAACCAGAAGCGTAGACAAAGAAGGGGAGCAGCTGCCTATGCACCCCAAAATGAGGGGAAATGGTGATCCAATTGAAAACGAAGAGAAGCGCAGGTGCTCTATCAGCACCTCGATGCACTGACTGGCAGCCTGAAGTACAGCACACAAGGGCCCCAGATCTGAAGCTGTTGTGCTGCAAATAGACAAGAAAGACGTCTGTGCAGCTCTCCACGTCCCTCCTATGGGGGAAATTTGGAGGCGTCTGCTAAGGCTGTCCACAGAAATCGACCCCCTAGGGTGTAACAAAGTATTCGCGGTATGCTCTGAAGACAGAGGCGCAGGGAAGGTCTGCTGCACAAGACCAAGGAGAGGGAGTGTGGAGCTGCGAAGTTGTACTCCGTCGGCTTAGGGGATGCAAGCTGACTCATGAGGAGTCGTTAGGGCGTTTAAGCCTATTGGATGTTTGAGAAATTGGAATGCTTACAGCAAGCGCTTCCTCAGAAGAGGAGCTGTTGAGAATGACGGCGAGGAACGGCTTCGCCAGGTTGAGGCCTGGCTCTGCATAGGGGGTTCCGAGCAAGAACCTGCTGAGCGCATCTCCTGCCCGTTCGTTTAAACCCTCTGGCGGGTAGTTTTTTGAAGCGTATTGCCACTGCCAAGAAACAGCTTCCGCGCAAAGATGCAGCGCTGCTTGGCGAGTCGCTCGTGCTGACTGCGTTGTTGCTAACTGTGTTGCCGGCTTGGTTCCAGCGTGTGCCGCCGACACGCTGGATGCTGGGGAGGGGCAACTAGACGCTGGAGCTGAGCTTCCGCTTTTTGAGGTAGAGAATTTTCTTTGGCTCGTACCAGGTCGTTTATGCCCGTGTGGCTGCTGCTGCGGCTGCAAAGGGTGCTTCCGGCGAGTTCCTACGGGGGCGGCTTCAGACGTTAGAGGAGCAAAAAAGGCACCTGTGGGCAGGGAAGGATAAAGGACAGGCAGGAGTAGCGGCAGCAAGGGCCCCCACGCCTTCATGCCAGAGGCCACAAAAGCGTGTTTTGCTGCGGTACCAGCAGCAGCGGCAGCGGCGAAGCCAGCAACATCGGCAGTAAACCTCCGTAAGGCTGCATCCAATGCACACGCATTAGTGAGCGATACAGAGGGTGCTCCCGAGGGTTCCCCCCCGCAAGCCCACAAGCAGGTATACGGATGATTGGCTTCGTTTTGCAGCTCTGTGGAGGGGCCCTCATCAGGCCTTGACGAGGGACTGTCTTGAAGCAAAGGGGCATGTCTTTCCTGAAGAGCTTCTGCCTCAGCGGATGAAGGTGCTCTGGCTCCTGCTGCCTCCGCGTGCTCGCGCTGTTCGGCGGCCCTTGCTGCAATACGGATCAACTGCCTGCATGCATGCACCTCCTCGAGGGGAAAGCGAGATAGGATAGCCTTGAGGCTATCAGGAGGAATGGTGTACCAGTCGTGCAACTGCACCAGCAGAAGGAGACAGCAGCACAGCAGCCTGAGGGGCGGATGCTGCTCCTCTTGATTGGGCTTCTGCTGCTGGAGAATGCCAAAGAAGTCTCTGAAATGAAGGTACCCTAAGATGTCATTCATTTTGAGAGATATGTTTGCGGCGTGTTGGCAGCCTACTAGAAGCCCACACAAGGCCCTGGGGAGGGAAGGGCCCTAGAGGGGAGAAAAGGGCCCTTCTCCCCCCCCTTGCATGCTATGTGTTGATGCTGCCTCAGCATAGAAGGGCTAACGGAGGGGGACTGAGCGCAAAAGCTGCATATGCTGCCTAGGGAATTCAAGAAGAAGGCCCACGCAGGGGTAGACAATGGGCTACCCCTTCTGTTCGTACTAATTCTTCCCGCTTGTCCTCATTTGGACAGAAGAATACTGGTGAAATAGAATCAGAGCGTTCCAAGGCCTTCCAACTAATGGGGGCCCCCGGGTTTGGGTGGGCCCTCTGTAGGGGGCCCCCCAGGACAGGGCCCCCAACAAAGGGTGCAGCCATTCTGTATCCTCACCAAAATTTGGAGCAGCCACGAGCATTGTTACAAACGGCTATAAACGGTGCTAGGACATGTTGCGCGGCTGTGTTGGAAGCAAAGGGATTCGTTATGCGCGTGGAATGTCCTATGGAGCTTAGATGGAAGTGTCTCCTGGGCTGTTTACTATTACGCATACTTAAAACTTTGCAAAAAGCCTTTGAATGTTCTCGTCACTTAAGGAGGCGTGTATGGAAGGATAACCGGATTTAGCGTGCAATGCACACACTTGTCCATTGTGAAACAACGGCTTAACAGAGTTGGGAGGGCATTGCTAGCTTGAAATGTTATCGTCAGAGAACTGGGGTAACAGAGCTATTTTGCAAGCATGAAAACAGCTCGTACAAATGGAGGCGCGCACACTCATGTGCTTTCGTAAACATGTGCGTATGTCATGTTGGTGTCCTCTTTCCTGCATATCGTAGGTCTTCCAAATTGCTGTGCGTATTTCTGCGTCCGCAATATGCCAAGCCACCTGTATATTCATGGAAGAACAATATGGAGCGGTGTATTTGGATGCGAACCCCAGCACGAACATGACTTCGCCGAGATGTGCACTGTCTTGCTCAGCACGCTCCATGTTCATGTAACGATACATAGCAAGAGTGCCTGTGTATAGTTGTCCATGCGAATACATGCATTCGCATCTGCTACTTGGAAACCTGCCGAATGGGCGGATGCCATGAGGGCCACCCTCAAGACCCAGCCCTTTAGGGCATTCAGCGCAAGCTCCATGCTTATATCACTCGAGGATTGCGCGTTCTTGCTTTAAACCCCCATAGTACAGGAAATTCACGTAAAAAACGACGTTCTCGCAAGGGAAGGCGATAAAGCATTGGCACACCGGGCAGAGAGACACGACCTATCGGAGACGCTTTGCCTTAAATAATGATTGAATTGGCGGCACCACGTGAAAAGATTGACAGACTCACAGAAAGAAAAGTGAACTGCGTTTTTCCGTGGCCGTCCTGACGGCCAGGTTCTCTTATTCACTTCGTTTGAGCGGAGGTCTCAGCAGCGTTACTAACGTGTACTGGATCTTCCCCCTGCGCAATGCGCCTATCTGCCTTCTTCTGCCGTAGGTGCTGCTACCCATCCTGCCAGTGTGGAAGAACCCACATCAGCAGTCAAGGCATGTGCAGTGCTGAGCAGCCAGCCCAGTTGGATTGTTGACTGTCTCCAGCCCCCGGAATGTCACCCCTTGGCCTCTGGCACGGTCCCTGCCATGCTGCCATTTTTTCGTAATTTTGTGAGAAACAGCGAGCCGCAGTTGTCAGCACGGAAGCTGCAAGGTGCACGCTTTCTAGCGATGCCCCCTCCTTGGGGTCCTTTTAGGCCTACAGACTCCTGAGTGGGCATGAAATTACAACGCACTGCGGGGTTGTCTTGCTGAAGCCCGAAATCGTGCCCATTGGAGATGTGGTGGAGGGGCTTCATGCACACCTGTACTCTAGCAGTTGGTGTGCCGGGAAGCGCTGGGAAGCAGTTCTTGATTTTTTTCTAAGCAGCGCTCATTTCGGCTGTAGTGAAAAAAAGCCGGTATCTTAACATTGGTGGGACAGAGTATAGGCACGCCGTGTTGTTGGGGATTTTGTGAAAAAGATTTGAAGTACAAAATTCTGGTGAACTTTCAGCCAAGAAAACTCACGATTCTGTCAGTACCACTCCTAGTGCGCAGGCAGTTCTCGAAGACTCACTGGTAGCCTGAGCGTGATGAGGCTATAAAAGCAGCTCCCTCTACGAAGACCTAACACATCTGGACGTAGCGGGGGCGTTCTACACGTGAAACCCCCCCCCGTCCCCTAGAGGCTACTAGAACAGAAGCTCACCTTCACTTCAACGGAGTCGCAAGGCGGCTCATAAACAATAAAGCGATAGTTTGTATACTCTGGAGAGAGGGTAGTCAGACTCTATTTTCCAGGCAGACATACCCCAGAGGAGGCCCTCAAGACTAAAGCACATCCCACCCCAGTGGACGCTCATTGCCCTCTGGAGACGGCGGGAGAAGGGCCGCAGAAGAGGCCACTGCGGCGAACTGTCGCTGCTTCACCTGGTGGCACTCCCACCCGCGATGAAGAGCTTCAGTGGCGGCGGCGGCGGACGGAGAGGAAGCCGTGAAGGCTGCTGAAGTGCCATCGGCCTCAAGCATATCGCCGTCTTGCACGGGACTGTGCTGCTGCTGAGCAGCAGGCATGGACGCGTGCTGCGATTGAAGATCCTGCTGCTGCGGTTGCTGCTTCACGAGGAGCCACGGACTGCGCTTTGGGCCTTGCTGCCTCCAGGTAGCCTGCGGGCTGCCTCCCGCGCTGCTGTTGCAGCTCCTGCTGCTGCAATCCCCCGCGAGCGTGTGCCTTGGCCGCTTAATACCCCTCCCTTTGGGGGCGGACGGCCCCATAAGACTCCTGTAGACTATGTGCGACAGTGAGAGCTTGCCCAAGGCTTCCGGCGGGGGGCCCGCCTGAGGGCCCTCAGGGGTTCTCGATCGGTCAAAGGCTTCAGGGAGACTCTCCGCAGGAGGAAATCCCATCGCCCCCGGAGGCACAGACCTGCTAGTAGCGCTGCTGGTACCGACGCGGTTGCGCCTGGCTACGCCGCCACTCTTATCCTCCACAGAGGCTGCCTTCCGGTTGCTCGAAGAGTGAGGCTCGGCCGTCCCTGGGCAGCCCTTGAAAGGCACACGGCCCCCAAAGCCCCCGAAATTCCTCCGCAAGTGCCTTGGGGAGCGCGGCGGCGTCAGGGAGAAAACGCATTGCGGCAGAAGGACTGCTTGAGTGTTCGCGAGAAACGCATAAAAGACTTCATCAAGGCCCCTCTGCAGGCAGCACAGCCCCTTGGAGAGACGGCGATCTATAGTTGCCGCTGCTTCAAGAAGCGCGGCAGCAGCTGGAGCCCCCTCCTGCGTCGGTGGATGCGCAGTTTCCTCTCGCTGCTGCTGTGATGGCTCGCCGCGCTGCTGCAACGCGTCGGGTTGCTGCGGCTGCTCCGTGGCCATAAGCCTCGCAGCTGCCCCTCTCAACTGCTGCATGTACCGACACAGCTCGGCGGCTCGCCGAGGCGCTGAAAGCGCTTGCTGCAGAAGCAGCAGAGCAACTTCCTCAAATCGTCGAGGGCTGTGGCTCGGGGGGCAAGCTGCATCCCGTGAGCGCGCAGCGTTGTCTGCACCACTGCACTCCGCGGAGGGAGGGACCTGGTCAGCCGTCGTACCCCCTGCCGCTGCCTCTGCAACTTCCGATTCGCATGCAGCCCCAGCTGCGAGAAGGCTCAAGTCGGGCTTCAAAGGGGCCTCACTTATTTCATGCGTTGGAATCGCCAAATTCGAGGCCTGCTTAAGGTGCCCCTCCGCACTACCCAAGTCATCTCCTAAGGGCTCGCTGGCTTGGCAGTCTTGCTCCATGCCTCTGAGGAAAACTGGAATCGTCCTAATAAGGGGGAGAGGACAATGCAGACCTCGCACACCCCGACGCCGAAGACTCAACGGCCTCTCCGATGGGGATGCTGGTGCTGCAGCTTCTTGCTCCAGGGTTGCTGCTGGCAGCGAAGCACCGCCTTCTACCACTGTAACCTGCTGCGTCGCAGGGGAGGCCCCTCTTGCTGCCCCACGTTTGGACCCTATAACGGGGCAGCAATCGGCGAGAGAATCATATATGCATTCAAGGGCCTCTGCTACCGCTGCACCCTCAGCAGCAAGCTTAGAGGCGATGCAACAGGTAAACTGCCCTAGCACCTCTTCGTCTGCCGAAGACGCTGCTGCAGCCTCGTCTCCAAAAGCTGCAGTTCCTAGTCCCCCCCCCGCAGATCCTGCAGGCGCTGGTGATGCACTCTCCGCTCCTGACACTTCTGGACCGCCGGTGCCTGCAAGGCCTGACGCAGATACAGAGCCACACGCCCCCTCTGCTGCATCTTGCCGATCCTCCTGCCGCTGCCCGTTGCGTTTCAAAAGTCCGTTTCTCACTGCTAGAGCGGCAGATTGGGCCTTGTGCAGGCTCACAGCTTCTGCGCATCTGCTACATTCTTCGAAGAACGCTCTCGACTCTCGCTCGGCTGAACCCAAGAGCTCCTCCAAGCTCTTCGCCGCTACGTTCGTCGCTCCGTTTGTCCCTTCTGTCGCGCCCGCAGCGTCACACCCTGCAAGCCCCAGCCGGCTAACTGCTAAACGCGTTTTCGTGGCTTCTTCTCCTGCCACCACGTCCAGAGCGTCGGACATGGAGGCAACTCGCTGCAGTAAAGCCGAGGCTCCTTCAGGCTCTGGCCCCCCCCCCCCGTTGCCTCGAGCATGCAGTCCTACACCGGGAGTCTTCCGGTAGCTGCCCCATCCATATAAGAGCGACTGTGGGCTACAGGCAGGAGCCGTCGCAACGCGTGCAGAAACTTGCAATAGCGCCTCCCTCGCCGCTGCCCAGCCTTCCCCTGGGGGCCCAGAGAGGGCCCCTCGACGCCCGTAGGGGCCCATAGAGGCCTCGTGGCGGCAGCGGAGGGAGGGGGCCTCACATGAGCCATGGGGGGCCTCACGCTGCAGCCCATCACAGCCACCGGCGCTGTTGCAGACGTCGCAGGGGCCCCTCCCCCAAGGAGCACAGCAAAACTTGCCCTTAGATGTGGGCGCCTCCGCAGTTCCAGCGTCAGCAGATTCTCCATCAGCCTGCGCAGCATGCGCTGTAGCTGCATGCAGAGGAGCTGGAGCTGCAGCTTCAGATGCGGCCTCCTCAGACGTAACGTGTGACGCTGGCTGCTGCTGCTGCTGCTGCTGCTGCTGCTGCTGCTGCAGAAGTTCTTTCCACTCTTGAGATGCATCATGCTTCTGCAGCTTCGAGCCCGGAGGCTGCTGCTGTACCCGCGGCTGCTGCTGCTGCTGATGTGCGTGGTGCTGCAGCAGCTGCTCGGGATACGAGTGAGGCAGGTGTGGGCTCAGTGGGAGTCGAAGCAGCTGATCTTGCTGCTGTTGGAGCTGCTCCAGTTGCTGCTCGTGATGCTGCTGGCGAAGCAAATGCATCTGCTTCTGCAGCAGCTGCAAGCGCTGTTGTGGTTGCTGTGGCTGCAATAACAGCTGCTGCTGCTGTAACTGCTGCAGATGCAGAAGCTGCTGCAGTTGCTGCTGCTGCGGCTGCTGCCTTTTTTGTTTCTGCTGTTGCTGCTGCTGTTGCTGCAAAAGATGCTGATGCTGTAGCAATTGTTGCAGCTGCAGAAGCTGTTGCTGCTGCAACTGTTGCTGCTGTTGCAGATGTTGCTGTTGCTGCTGCAACTGCTGCCGTAGATGCTTCCCCTGCTGGTGCTGCTGCTGGTTTTGCAGTGGGTGTAACGGGGGATTGCCATGCTGGGAAAACATGAGCCCCGCAGAGAGATCCGAGGAGGCCTTTTCCGCATGTACTGCAGCTGCTTTTGCTGCAGCGCTCGGCAGCTGCTCAAGCACACCTGAGGAATCTGCCTTACCTCCCATAAAAGCCCGCCCAACAGACACGTCATAGGGGGCTTCTGCTGGAAGACAGCTGGGTTCTAGTCCGCGGCTAAGGCAGCGCAACAACTGTTCTACTCTACCGGAATCTAGATTGCCTCGTGAACCCGATACGGCTTCTGTAACTGCTTGTGCCTCAGCTGCTGACCCTGCTGTTTCAATGGACGCTGAGGAGGCTCCTGTTGTCGATTCTCTAGACGGCGGCAGAGCGGGAGGCGCCACCTGATGAGTCTGCACATCACGATTCGATACGAAAGCCCCCCTACTGAAAGGTAGAGGGGCCTCTGTGGGGGGTACGCCCAAAGGGGCCCCCGGGGGGGGGAAGCACGTCCACTTGGCGCCTGTCTGGGGGCCTCTTGGGGCGCCCGCTGCCAAAGACCCTCCAAGAAAAGGCAAGGCTGCATTGGGGCCCCTCAGGCCCAAAGAAACATCGGTAGAAGCTGTGTAAAGGGGGGAAACAAGTCCAAGGGGGGCCCCTACAGCCCGCTGGGCGCCCAGGGGGCCCCTATTCCACGGACGGCCCGGAGCACTTGGAGGAAATCCAGGGCATGCATGGTGAAGCCCAGCACGCTCCGCAGCGGCAGACTGGAGCGCTGCAGACGCTATTGACAGCCGCGCAGCAGCCGCCGCTACTTGGGCTGTAACCCCCGCGGCAGACGGCAATAGAGCCTGAGGGCCTCGTGGCAACGGCGGAGTCTGAGACGGCGTACCAGGCAAAGCCTGCGCGCGCCCCATTAGCGACGTAACGCCGTTAAAGCCCCAACACGCCTGAGGAGATCCTCTTGGGCCCGGCAGCTGCTGGCCAGCCACCTCCGATGCAGGAGAGGGGATTCCCTCCATGAGGAGACTGTGAGGCATTCAGTGCCCCACTGGTGGCGTGGGGGCCTTCAACGAAGGCCCAGGGGGCCCCTGCGCCCCCGGGGAAAGATGGCTCGCGGGTGGGACCTCCCAGCATCCGCTGCATTGCACTCAAGCTGGGGGTGGGCCCTGCCCACCGCCCGCGAGCAAAAAGGGTAGGTGAAGAGGGCCAGGTCTACGGACTTTGCACTCCTTACCCATGCAACAAAGTGAACAAAAAGGGGGTCGGTCGAGGGAAACAAGGGGTCACCCATTTATACCACAGGGCAGCGCTGGCAGGGGGGCCTGCACATCTCGTCGAACGCTACAGCCCCGAGCTTACACCGAAAATACTTTCACTAACAAATCGGAATATGGAAGGGGTTAAATCATTAGAGGCGGTAGTGGCCCTGATGGTGTACATGCAACAGACTCAGCCAGCTGCAGCCACACGGCAGGGGGGCTGCTGCTTGTGCATCCATCCACGCAAGCAGAGATATCCTCAAAGAACTTATGGCATTGCGGTTGTCTTTTCCTTTCCAATAATAACTACCAATATTTAATGTCTGTTTAGCCTTATTGTGAAGGCTTTTCAATGCAGAAGGGGAATTCTAGGCTCAGGACGGCGCGAGCAGGCAATGCCACTGATCCCCATAGCAAAACCCGATGATGTCTATGTCTCAGGCAGTCAGTCTCCCCTCAACTTAAAGAAACAAGTAGGTACCCTAGGTAGATACCTGTGAAACGCTTCCATACCCCAGATGATCCCAAAACTGTCGCAATAGGTCGTCGAACACATACTCTAGCAGCCGTACAACCAATAGTCCCTCTGTATTTACTTTTTAGGCAATATATACTAATCTATGCATTCGCGGTGGCGCACACTCGATATACAAGCTCTTTCTTAATCGTTAGAGTAAGCATGGCCGTGCGCAGTTGGCCATGGGACTGCAGGTGTGGTGCTTGTAGCGGGCTGTGTGTTGATTCATCTAGGGTCTCCCTAGAGTTACGCCTTCCTCCAGATTTAATGAAAGCGTGGTAGAAAGCGATTGAGCGTCTCGATGAAGGACTCCGCCCTTCCCCTGCCCGCCCACCTCGGAGTGTAGCCATCTTGAGGGCGTGTCGACTAGGGTGCGCGTAGCCCGACCCACTAAATACTTCAGGCATCCACAGCTAGTTGAACATAGTGTCTAGCCCATATGCGCACAGCCTTCGGTCTTACTGTAACTGAGTCCTTTACTAATTCTCACGGTTACGTAGTGTGGTAGGAAGTGTTTGATTGCACCTTGGACCGCTAGAATTACTTCTGGGAACAAGCCACCGGCGTACGAATGTAGATAGCAATGAAGCAGCACAAGTGGGCATGTTTCTTAAAGATGCTTCTTTTGAGGCCTACTAAGGAGTGCTCGTGGGACCCGACTTTCTTGCGCTTCCTAGCTAAATGCCATGAGTGGCGGAAGCGTTGGTGCCAGGGTATTTTCGCCTGCAATTACTTGTTCAGGTGTATACTATATATACGCACAACCGTGACACGTGGCAAAAAAAAAGCACCTCAGGTGTGGAATAGGCATCAGGTATTCGTCCTAGTGGTAGCATGCACTGCTACGCTCGAAGTATTTGTTGGTCCACCTAGCCTTAATGTCATTTTTTTGATGTGAGTGATGTACAACATTGGCCGATAGAGTGCACATGGGTGGGATATTCGCTCGTATACGAGTGATTCTGTCTAAAACGTCTGGTTAGCAAACCTTATCTGTAGCCTTACGTAGTTAAGAACAATTATCCGGCCATTCCTCAGATGCTTGTTGGGATGTTCAGCAAAGGTGCATTGCTGCTGCAGGAAAGTTGACTTGAATGTACCGGTAGCAAGCGTATTTTCCCGCCGAATGATAGAATGCCTACACTTCTACTTTGATTGTAGGTTGGGAGCCGCCCTTCAACCAGTTCAAAGGAATATACACTTCTGAAGGACCGTACCACCCCTAAACTGTTGGGGCCACAAACACGAGCTAATGGATTGTGATTCGATGAATAGACTCCGCTCCTACGAGCAGCTTGCTATCCTGACTTGTTGAGCCATATCTCCATGTAGTAGTAAATGTAGATCCATTAACAAGTGTATGTATCAAGTTCTTCCCTCCAGTAGTAAACGAAAGAAACGGAGCTCTAACGCATGGACTGTGATTAAAGGAAGAGTAGCGTAGTCCAGGTTCAGAAACAAGGATGCCTGAGAAATCTGGAGCTAGGTGTTTTAATCGCCTGAGCTGAATACCTCAAATTTCTTGGATGATTTCAGCTTTTGGTAGTTTTGCAGTATTATTTCGCCTGTGGGGAAAGCAAATATTTTGGTAACAGCGCTTTTCGTTCTTGATTTCCATTCTACTGGTCCTCTGCTGTGTTGATGATTGTTTTCTTGCCCTGCTTTTAAGACTGCCGTATTCTGTGGGCGCGACTGCCTGAAAGTGACAAGCTTGTTCCGTATCCGCCTCTCAGGTGGCATATATCCTATAATGGACCCATGGAGGGAAGGATTCCTATCCGCTGCCCAGATTTTAAAATGGCAAATCCATCGGTGGATGGTCGATTAAAGCGTCTAAAGTTTGTCAGCAGCAGCCAAACTACACTTTAGCTTTTTGCACTTGCAGGTGACAATTTGATCCTAGCTCACAGAAAGGGAGCCATTATATCGCTTGAGGGACGGGAGTGAAGTGCCGACGTGCAGTAATAAGAATTATGTACAAAGAATAAACCTCAAACTCAGGACAGTTTTTTTTTGCTTCAGAGTCAACTTATATGGTTTTTCACACTAGAAGTTGGAGTCTGGAAACGCCGCTAGTGGCTGAGCTCGCGGAACAGTACGCTACCCACGTGATGCTTTCAGTCTAGCGGCGAGCTTTGGGCAGCTGCCGCTTAGCGAAAATTCGCATTAAAACGCTCACCGTGGGATGCACCCGCAGATAAGCACCCTTATGAATTTTGGGGGGGGCTAATAATAGACTTCGTGTCATTTAAATGGATTGAGCTGTGAACAAGGAAATGAGAATTTAAGGCATTGGCCGTCGGGACTTGTTTATATTGGAGTGAACGTACATGCGTAATAGTGAAGAGACACACCCTGACTTTTGATTGTATGGAATTCCACTATTCATTAGTTTTTTGAACGGCTGGTCATCTCAAATACTTTGTGCCAAAAGTGAAGAGAATGAACGACGTGTACTGACGTTTTTTCACAGACTAGGCATTGCAAAGGTTGGGCGAGCTAATGCTGAGAGATTGTGACTGAAGGTCCAGTTTGGACGCGAAATTCAGGCCGCATCTCAGCTACTGCTTTAAGCCTGTGCTTAGCCAACTATAGGGGTTAATCTTTTTGTTTTAGCCTTGTAAAAATGCTGGCGAATGAGTCAGCTTTCTAATTTAACACACTACAAATGTGTAAAAGGGGCGCGTTTCGGACTGCTGCTTCCTCCGGGATCCGTACAGCAATGCAAAATGCGTTTCAGCTGACCCTCTCGAATGGCTGCAGTATTTTGTTTAGACAAAAAACGAAGCGTCCTCAAGAGAATGATTTCGAAGTCATATTTGAGCACCAAAAGGGCAAATTAAGGTTTTCTCTCCCGCGTTAGTGGGCTTCCTTCCAAAGGCCTTTTGAATAGCTCCCGAAGAACAGCAGTTTGCCACCAACGGACCAAAACAGTAGAGCACATAAGCAGAATCACACATTTAGCACAGTTGTTCGTATCAGTAACGAATCTCTAAGAACGTGCCGTTAGTCTTAAAAAGCAAAAGGTAGCTCAAGCAAAGCAATGAACGATAGAATAGGGAGACGGGAGCGAACTAGCGCGGCGAAAGGTCACCCGAGGAGCGACACCCGCCCAGTACTGCCAGCTTTAATGGCACCCTGGTCAAAAAACGATCCTAATGCAACTAATGGTGCTCTTCACAATATAAATGATTACAGTCGAAGTAAAACTGGTATCTTTTACTGAGGTTCGAACCGAATTTCCCTAAAGACAATGAAGACCGTTTTTAGCACTATCGTCGGGCTGGTAGCCTGCGCGGCGGTCGCTGCGGAAGAAACTTCTCCCCAAGTCGCGGTTGAGCTAAACCCCAGTGAAATCGTCGCCGTTCAGGAAGATCCGAACGCAGAGCCGCGTCTCTTTTTCCCCCTGAACGCTCTAGTCGCCGCTAAGCTTGCGAAGTTCATCGTTCCGGTTCCTGTCTCTGTTCCTACCCCACCTCCTCCTCCTCCTCCTCATCCTTATCCTCATCCTTATCCCCATCCTTATCCTGATCATCATCATCATCATCATCCTCGTCCTCCTCCTCCTCCCCCTGTCTACCTCCTCCCTATCAATGGCGGAGGCGCTGTCCCTGGCAATGGCATTGTCAACGGCACTGTCACGGTCCCCACCACGACCGCTCCCGTTATCTCTGTTGATACTAATCTAGGCGGGCTCCTTTCACGAGCTGACCAGAACTAATCCGCCTCTTCAGCACGAAGCCATGCCCCTCTCCGAAGTGCCACGCAGGGCTTGGACCACTCCCCATCATCCGATTGTTCGGTGCTCACCTGATCACCATATGGACCCTCTGAATGTAAACTGAACTGGCGTGATTCTGGCCCATGAAGCGCTATTCTCCCTGGTGGCTACCCAAGGAGCTCTTTTGACGGCAAACATGTGGTGCAAGACGTCCAAGTTGCTAGTATGGCTTATGTCATTCGAGGCGATTCACTACACCAGAGAGCATCCCATTCCACAACACCCATTACCGCTATTCTTGCCATCCAAACAACCTGTTCTACGGCGAAGTCGTTTCATCGTGTTCTTCATTGACTTCCCTCTGAATGAGCCTCACTTCACTCCTTGCACAGGCTGCAGTTCTTTCTTGTAGAAAGAAAGCCAATGCGGCTTTATAAAAGGTTCGCAGTTGCCAACAGCGGCAAGATGCCCTCACTCATGCGGGCACAGGTACTCAAGCGTGAACAATTTCTAAGGTTAATTGATTATCCTTGAGCTGTGGTTCAGTAATAAGACAAACCGAAGCCTCCACACGGTGGAGCTTCAAGGTGTAGTGAAGTTTCATACTCTATTACTAGTGCCTTTAGCTAGGTGGGCTGGGTACATTAGTTTTACACGGGGAATAAGTGATTTAGGCGCTTTCGCCGTTTCCTCGCAAAAACTCCGCCAGCAGAAAGAAGAGATATAATTAGCTGCTAATATTAAGCTTGTACCTACTCGCAACTAGAGTGAGAGCGCGTAGTCCACTGTTTGCTGCGGTACGCGCATGGCACATTCCCGACCCAATGGAAAATGCCTTTCTTGAAACGGGTTTTGAATATCATATCACTCGGATTCATCAGTCCGACTCTCGATTGCCGCTGCTTTGCGGCTTCGCTTGCGAGAGGGACCCCCTACGGGCAATGTGGTGCCCTTCTGAGGGTCAATTCTGTCAGCCAAAGCATGACGCTCCACCCCAGAAGTCCCGTCAACCAGCCGCGTCCTACGGAGAACAGCCGAACATGATAAATATAGAAAAAGCATAGAGAAATAACTTTTGCATTTGTTCAGAGGGATGTGCTCCGTAGATGCAATGCTGGCAGAGGTTTGCATCTAAGTTGAGGACTAGGTATGAATTCATTGCTCGAGAAATCGGCCTACCGAAAGAGAACATCCGCATGCGAAAACATCCCTTCCTTTAGTGAAACAATGATGAACTGTGATGTGGGGAACTGTGTCTTTATCATGCTGCCTGCGCAAAAAAAACAGTAAGCTGCTTCTCCGGACACTTCCAGTTGCCACGATGGTGCCGAGACGCAAGGAGGGCGCAGCTACTTCATGCGAATGCATGTAATAACTCTACCCGCATTCCAAGACGCTTAAAGTTCGGCGAGTTCAATGGATGTTTGCTCGTGGAAATATACCGATATTTTGTGTATGTGAGAGATCCAAGGCAGCGTCGACTTCGTCGAGAATGTACACGGGAGCTGGCTTGACCTTGAGAAGAGCCAGAATCAGAGAAAGCGCCAAAAGTGATCGCTGTCCTCCAGACAATTCCGATAAAGATTCCTTCCACTTATGATGAAAGGCTATCTGCGCTCAACGCACAGTGACGAATCAAGGCGGAATCATTAAAACCTGGCGTACCCACTGTGTTGGTACGAGGAACCGCGAAACACGGACGAGTAGAACTATCTGGCAGGAGCATTTAAGCCGGCTCCCTTGGCCGCGTGAATCCTATCATCACACTTTCAACTACGCAGAGCAAACACTTGTTGTGTAGTCTGCTAAATGCACATATCATTGCAGTAGGACGGCATATGGCCCGCAGGATCGTACTTGGCGCACACATAACTAATCACATGCACCGTCCAAACCCCCTTACACAGAATTTTCTGCCGGTTTACCCATGAAAGCAGCTCAAGATTCATTCACCTTCATTTCCAGTCCTTTCTCCAAGTCTTCTGAGTCCATCTGCACCAATTTAGCCTGCGCGTTGGGCAGGAGTTGTTCGAAGATTGTTGAGAAGTTCCCGTCAACGAGGCGCCATGCATTCCTTAGAGAATTCTGTTTTTTTTCATCCAAGGAAGCGATTACTTCTCTGATCTTCTCCTAGAAAGGCATTGTAGGACATCGAATATCTCTCAATGGTACAGTCTGGGTCACAATGCGTTTTGGACCCTTTGAAAACAATGTACCTATTCTAGATTGCGCATAAGTTTTTAAATGCGCGTATTACAATGTGTCGATCCTCAGATCGGATAGTACACAAGCGCTCAGATGAATTATAACAGTCAAGATAAGCCCGGCCGTACCCGATCCGCCTCTACTTGCGCCTTGCGGTGTAAAAGAGTTTGCAGCTCAGCCTCTGTCTTTTCAAGCATCATTCCAGCGGAACTGTTTATGCTGTTGCCTAGCCTGTCTATATCAGATTTTAACTGGTGAATGCGCTGGCGAGCGGCTGCAACGCCAAAGACAGAAAGGCACAGTGAGTAAGTGATGCAAAAGTCGCGTATGTACATACTTGCCCATAACAATGCCCCATGTGCACATGCACACGGAGATGGCAAATTAAATTGGCTTACTGGAGAAAACAGACAAAAACTGAGGGCCACTTACATGTAAAATGGACTAACGCATAAGACAAATGGTGCCACACTTACTCTCTGGCCGCAGCTGTTTAAAGTCGTAGGGTGTACCCGTTTGATTGAATTTGGGTTCCTCAGCAAGGAGCCATTCATGCACCGCAAGCAGCTGCTTCACTTCCTGTGATTTTGCACGCAAATGCACAATAAGGTTTTTAAACATACGTCGGAATAATACATAATACTCTACAAAAACTCAACATTCATGCACATACAAAGAGTTCCAGAGGGGTATTTTGCAGGCCGCAAACGTGCAGTTGGGTCACGAGTGTTATGTAAATAAAGGCGACAATGCATATAAAGGTTTCTCAAGCTTTCTAGGCTGCTAGCTATAAACGCACGCCTCGTGTTGCAGAAAGCGTCTTTTCACGATCCTCCGCTTCGAGATCAAGCTGAGCACGACAATGCGGCAGTGACACTGCAAAGGATGTCTACAAAAATGCGGTCGTCGGATTTAAGGATGTGAACCAACCAACAACAATGACACTGATACTTAGAAACTATGATATACCCGCAGGCAATATTGTGCAGGGAGTTCAAGAAAAGCCCCACCCTATATTTCGAGGAAACGACGCTGTTAACAAGGCCACCTTCGATGCATCGGCCGTGCACATGCATCGAAGCCTATCTATATGTTGAAGTGCGCACCAGGAGCAAGGTCAGGGCGTAACACACCTTTTTAAGCGCTAGCGATTTTGCCTCCTTGGTTTTGGATATTTTCTTCAAAGAGTCCGCGACCCGACTCTGCTGCTGATTTTCCTTCTGTGCCTCCTCAGCGCTTTGCAGTAATTCTGCTTCTAGTGCTCGTTGTTCTGCCAACTTTATGGTCAGGAACGCAATCATACAAGCTCTCTCTACAAATTACCAGCGTGTAGAGCTAATTTAGGCTTCAAAGCTTTGAAGTAAAGATCAGGCAACACATCATCGCCAAGGCGGAAATACAGTTGGGAGGGTCATTGCCAAATGCAGTTTGGCTGGCCTCAGCGTGGTCGATCAATGCCGGAAATTCTGATTACTTAGATTTAATAGTATGTCCTATTAAAGCAAACGTTACCTTTTTCTCTATATCAGTATTTTTCTTATCGAGTTGCTGCTGCTGCACTTGCACCTTTTCCCTACGTGCAGCCAAATCGCTGCGGGCTCCCTCGAGCTCCTGCTGCATGGTCTGCAGCTGGAGGCGCACATCTCCCGTTTTCTGCAGCGGCCACAACACACATTGAGGGGACATACAGGTCGGCTTACCACAAAGCGCTGGCCAGCTTTTACGTCAAAGGATACGAAACCCTGCCCCACAGATGCTTACCAGATGCAGCTTCTCAAGGCGGTTCTCGGAGCACTTCAGCTGAGAACGCAGAGACTTCACCGTTTTGTTGAGGGCAGCTTCCTGAGAAAAGAGGCTCATATTCGAAATAAAAACGAGAAATCACGAGAAGAAACTGAGGCTCGCGCCAGGGAAAGAGCTAATGGACCATTTCGTGCGTGACGGATGTTGTAAGAAAGATTGCACTTCCCTGCTGAACGCTTCCTGCCTCTAACACTTTTATTCGAGTGACATTTTAAGAGGTTGGCTATGAGTGTACGTGCAGACGCACAATTTTGTCCTTGTTTGTCTCAAGATCGTAAATCTCAGCCTCCAGCTGCTTTATGGTTTTCTGCACCCCTTTCCGTTTTTCAGTCACCTCTTTTCGCAGCTGTTCTTTTTCCTCGAGCAGTTTGCCCAGTTCTTCAATCCGGGCACGGCAAGAGCCTGCGTCACTGCTGCTGAGTAAGCGCTGCAATAGTTTTCACCAAACACAGCCCCTTTCAAATCCACATCTGATTGCCACTTGGATCGACAAGCAAAGACCAACCACCCCGTTTGCCCGTAACGCATGAACGGCGGGTAGAGCAAGGTCCACAAGGGAAGGTCAGTAAAGGTACCTCCGTATTTTGCAGCTGGTTTTCGGCCAGACGGAGGCTCTTCAGAAGGCTCGCTGACTGCGCTGCACGAGCCTGAATAGGAGCCAGTTCTGCCTCTAGCGTTCTGAGAAAACAATAGGGTCGCAAGCAGCAGTTGTAATTGTTTGTAGGTAAGAAGTACAAGGGCGATTACCATATACCATATTACGTGCATGAATGACCTCTAAGTTAGACGGGCGGCTTTATTTGCTGGCTATTTCGGAGCTCGTGGCAGGCACGAATCGGACCTCCGTAGGTCCACTAGGGCCTGCAGTTGGCTTGCCTGATTCGGGCTGCAACCTCGTCTGCTGCCTCCGCTGCATCTTTATAGCGCTGCAGAGAGGCACAAACGAGTAAACCAAAGCTTTATGAGACAAGCTGCAGGGAATGCCACATGCTACAAACCGAAACGTCCGCGGAAGAACACCGAAAGAAAATGGTAGTATTTAATGTTTTAGTGGTGATCCTGTTTAATTCCTTGGCAGACCTTTCTACTGTGTAACTCTATACATGCATAGAAAACAGAGGCATGTTCTTGCACCTCGCCCTTCGGCCTATTGTGTAGACCTGACCTTCCACGAGAGCATCGTTTGTCGTACGTCTCGCACGCTGCCTCCCGCCATGATGCCTCCTGTCTGGAAGACATCTCCCTCTTCAGTGGCCGTAGGAAAGGCCAGTCGATAGTTCTTTTGATACGTTATCTGGGACAGAGCAGGGAAAAGTGGGTCGCATCGGAGCGACGGGTGGTGGCATTACGCACACACAGTAGGCTTCTTCACAACCCAGAGACGCGAACTCGTTAATGGCCTACTACGCGCTAAGTGCACTTTTATGCGCATGCAGAGCACATATTTTGCGGAGAGGGAGGGGCACGACAGGGGTGTTGCGCAGAGGCAGAACGGCGAAGCGTACCTTCTGTGCCATGGCAGCTGTGCGGCATATCAAGCCTCCTCCGAAAGCGTACTCTGCCACTTTGGTATGCTTATGGGGGTCGAACCTACGGAAAGTTCAAGTAGGAAAATAAGAATCAGAGTAGGGATCTTGGCTTCATAGCTAGCCTCACAGCTTTAGGTGGCTTGGCTCAAATGTAGGCCACAACGCAACGGAAGCCCACAGGTGATACGGACGGCTAAAGGAAAAGCCGAATCGGAGTCCAGCAGGTATCCCCATAAAACGGCAAGGACCGGCAACAAAAGGGCTGTAATATGTAGAATAGGATATATCTGAGCAGTATGGACGCACTCCACCATGTCCAAGCAGCGCAACACGCCCTTCACATCGTCTGGCGGGAGACCCAGAAGGCGTCGATTCGCTGCTAATGCCTATACACACATGCACACAGCAGACAGGGATGCCTCGTTTAAAGGCTCCCTATTGCACTCCCAAGCAGTCATCGACAGCCTTTCTCGGAAGACTTCCAGACCCGGCCCATGGCAGCACTTCCACAACTCGGATGCTGAATATCTTAGAGCATTAGTGAGTTATTCCGTTTCCCCACTTGGGCGTCGCACACTCTGCCGACGTGGCAGTCCGACAAAGGCAGGAGTGTCACTCTACGCCGGCCATAGGCAAAGCCGTTCTCCTTAAAGATGGCTTTACCTGAAAGACAAAAAGCAGACGTGCAAGCCCGCCCATCACTCAGTACCCTCATCACTTCGGCTGCCTGCAAAAAAGCCTTGGTTGTCATAGTAGTTCTTTTGGTTTTTCTTCCTGTGCTCTGAAAGCTCTGCATGCGATGAACACAGATGTGACTTACTGGCGTCTTTGTCTTTTACCACGATGTACTCGAGCTTGCCCCCCACAAGGACCTACCAGCAAACAAAGTACCGTTCTCAAAGGTAGCAAGACGTTCGTGTTGTACTGTCTAGCAAGCACTGCTTGAAGGTCCTTCGTTAATCCTTTTAAACTGGCGCCTACGTGCTAAGCTTGCTATTCCGGTGGTGCCGCGAGCACACAGCGCAAATAAGAGCTTTTGGCTCATGGGCAGAGCGTTATTTACTTTTATAGATATGCGGGCGTTTTTTAGAAATGCATTTTTCCATCCTTTATCAAAGTAGCCTTTCCTCATGTTTCAGAGCTCACCTGCATGGCTTTGCTGTAAGAAAGGAACTCTCGCTTGATGGATACCAGCTCAAAGATCTGACCGAGAAAGCGCGATGGATTTAGTTCACGGGGGAGCTTTACGTCAATCTTGGCCCTGAGAATGATATTTGGGAAACTCAACTGAAGATAGCCAGGAAGCTGGGGGCTTTACAGAGAAGAAGCGCATCCGCACACGAAACCGTAACAAGTGAATAGCTTTGCAGTGCTTCTTCGTGAAGACCCCAAAAAGACTGAAGGCAGAGGAACTCCCAGCCTAAAAAGCTTACCACGCCCGTAGTTCCTGCAGGGCCTCCTGCGCCTCCGCTGATAGCGCACGAAATCTCTGCGGCAGCAGCCAACAGTCCCGGCGTTAGTGCGAAGTAGAGAACATGAATGGAAGTGGTAAGAATGGGCATCCAGCAACGCCCACAGAGGGGTGGCATATGGACGAATTGCCTTGCAGAGGGTCTACACAATTTCCCAAGTGGCGCGAACCGGGTAACAACACGGGCGTTTGCTGAGCCACTGAGTGTGCCAATGCAAAGGAAGGGGATTGTAGGAAGCCTTCTTGGCTCTAGACGGAGCAACCGCAGAGCTGTTTACCTCCTGAAGTTCCGTGTGCTTCGCCTCGAGTTCCTTGCTCGACCCGTCGGTGGTCTCGAGGGCCTCCAGTTGCGCTTTCAGCTCCATTACACGAGTCCTTTGCTCCTGGACGTTTTTCTCCATTTTGTGCCTATCCTGAGGAAAGCGCAGGGGACAGGAGGTGGATTGACAGCTGAAGGACAGATGTGAGGCAATACGCTGCGGATGCAACACAACAGCGCCGATAACAAAAGAGCGGATCTGCACCCGGCCGCTACAGAATGGATGAAGACAAGCATTAGGATAGACAAAAAAAGAAATTGTTGCGTTGGCACACCGCAGATGCGTTTTTGTCTTTTGCAATCAATTCCTGGAGCTCATTCTTGTGATAGCTGATATCTTGCATAATGGAGAAATCCATAGCCTCTAGCTTGGCTTCCTCTGATCGACCAGTCTTGAGAGAATCCCGAATGGAGCCAGAGCCCCCCACGCCACCGCTGCTGACTGCCTGAAGCTTTTCAGATTTCTCTTTTAGGTCAGCTCTGAGCCGCTCGACTTCCTCTGCCAGCTGCTCAGCTTCCGCTGCCTCCGCTGACCGCGAGTTCCGCCTGTCCTCCAGAGCTTTTTCTAGACGTTGCTCCTCCTTCTCCTGCTCTTTAACAGAAGCGTGCAGCATCTCTAGATCCCGCTTGCAGCTACGGGCGTCTGCTTGCAGGCGCGACAGAGCCTGGAAAAGGTAAGCAACGAGAAAGGAAAGAAGAGGACATTAACAGAATAGAGACCAAACGAGAATAGGGGGTGAAAATCAAGACTGTATAAAATTGTCAGAAAATGGATTTCTACTTCCCAAAGTTCCTTTGTGCAGGCCAGAGTGGCCCCATATGACCCACAGTGCCCTACAGATATTGGATCAATGAACATGTCTAGATGTCACAGTAAACCCCCAGTGCCTAGTGCACACGTGCAAGATTAAATTCCACATTACTTTTTCTCCTTCTTCCTTCTTCTTCCGTAAGGCCTTTAGGGGCGCGTCCTTCTCCAGTCTTGTTGCCTGAAGAGCCTCTAGACGCTGTTCAGCCTCGTCCTTTTGCCTGTCGGCCTCCTGTAGCTCCGCCATTAAGGCTGCCCTCTGCCGCTGTAGATCGGCAAAGGCCTCTACCTCTTGTTGCACAGTTTGTTTTGCACTGCGCAGATGACATTCACATTCTAAAGCCGTAAATCCTCCGCTCCTCCACATTGACCGCAAGCTCAAGCCCCTAGGAAATGGCTTCTGCTACCTGGTGAAGAACAAACCTTCGGTAAACCGCCCACTATTTCGCAATTATTGAAGAACCTCTAACGTAATGGCACAGACAGTGACTTTAGATCGGTGTGCACAAAATCGCAAAGCCAGCAAAGGAAAGTACATCGGGAACGATGTGACTTGGGGCAGACCAGTAGTAGCGGTATGCCGTGTCAAATCTTTGGAAGTGTTGTAATGCTTCCTTCAGGGTGACGTAGCTCTGATAATCAGCTTTCTCCTTTTGAAGCCGTTGTACATTGGGCTCTATTTCCTCCGATAAGATGTTCTGTATTTCCATGAGTTTCTGCTCTTTCTTTTCCACAAGCTTGACCGCGTTTGCCCGCTTCACTTCGTACATCCGAGTGCCCGAAACCTCCTCTATAAGCCCTAGCAGCTCCTTGGGCTTCATGTTGATCACCTTGGTAATCTTTCCTAAGCGTGCATACACACACAGGCACAATTAGGGGCACACAAAATCCTGACAAAACGGAAAGACAATGACCGTTCTGCACAAAGAACGTGCATGCAACTGAAGGAAACTTCGTGGATTTCACTACGGACACACTTATTGTCAACACGTCATAAATGAAGGAAAATTCCAGAGGCCTTTCACATTTTTTCGTTACTATGTGGCTCACCCTGCTGGATCATGAAATGTGGGCTATTGATATTGAGTTGGCAACATTGGAAGAAATCTCGAATTTCTTTCACCTGCGCGATGCGACTGTTGAGTAAGTACCGATCTCTGCCCCCTACAAAGCGAAACGTGCCACACAGCGGATCTACTGAAACATAAGAATAATGCATCAAAAATACATCCCCAAAACGTACTATCTACATTCAGCATTCTAATTCCCACGAACAGACACACATTGCATACCGTGTGACGATTGTCACCTAACAAGACTATTGTGTTGTTGCTGCAAAAATAGAATTGCTGCGCTACAGATTGCCACTCTCTGGTGCCCTCGAGTTCACTTCGCTGTTAGCATCTTAAGAATCAAGGAAGTCCCTTGAGGGCTCTTCAGAACGCATCAGCAAAACGATTATGGCTGTTCGAACCGATTATGATTTGCCGCGTAATGGAGATCTCTCTCATATCCTTGTACGGGGGAGGAAGAGGATTGTTTGGTTGGTTGGGGTCATTTTTGAGTTTGATGGTTACTGTGGCCTTCGTTATTCCTGCCTGCCCCTGCTTATAGACTAAGTCCTCCAGCCTAGCAACGCGAACCTGCAAAAAATACACAACATACCGTGTAAACAACAGATTGTGAGCCTCAAGACAGCGGAAGGCACCCCCAGCGCTAAAAACTGGGGGCAGCGAGTAGCATACGTGCAAACCTGAGGTAAATTGCCTTGAAATTTGTTCACTATCGCGCATAGAAAATTTCTAACCCGTTTCCTGAACATGAATGACGTAAGTCTTGGTGTCCCGGTATATCGGTACAGCAGCATCCCGTGGCGGCAAATTCGCGCCCGAATAGTGCTCACCAAAGAGTGGTTTGAGATCCCAAGGACAAAGCAGATTGAGTCGAGTACATTTGATTTGCCTGTACCGTTGAGACCAGTAATGGCGTTAAACTGGGGATGGAGGGGTCCCACCACCACCCGCGAGGAGTAGGACTTGAATCCATCTAAGATGATTTCATGTATGTACATCGTCAACAATGTATGTGAGTGAAGATTTCAATAATAGCTACTTATCGGGTACACCATATTACCTCGCCTGGTGAGCAAATAAACAACAAACCAACACCCTTTTACCTTGTAATCGAAGGCATTATAGGCTCGTTCCATGCAAGTGCCGTACATAAGGCGCACAAAAGAGAGGAAGACCATACAAAGAGCCTCAAAGTGATGCCTTAGGGGGAGTACATGCATGTGAGCTTCAGGGATCAATGGCAATATATTCATGAGCTGCTTTTCGCCATGGTGTTTGTATTGCGAAGCGCCCCCCACTAGTAGGATGGGGCGAGCGAACGATAAGCTGAATCCGCTGGTGGTATAATTGAGTTCGAGAAAGCACAAACAAAGTTGAAAAGGAAAATGCGAATGCTAAAAACTATGGTAGAATCAGTCGCGAGCTGTTTCCCGCAGCCGACCCAAGTAGCCGACCCCAACGCAGCCCCCACCAATTTTACTAGAATATGTTGAAATGCATGCACATGTACGGAAAACAAATTGTCAAGCTTCCTATATACTTAACAACGAGGAAATCTATGTTAGGCAGTGGAAGCTTCTCCCGTAACATCCCACGTGATCAGCATGAGCCCCACATTACTTTAACCTCTATCCTTTACGCCGATTCACGGGTAGAGTAACGCAAATTTCACCTTGTGTTATAGGTGCTAAGCTACGTCAATCCCCTAATATTGTTGTCGCGGCAACTTTCTGTGGTTACCACACTAGTGAATCCGAGAGAGGGACCCGACATGGCGTACAATTTTGCGAGTCACTTCGCCTCCCGCGTGCCTCTAAACAAGCCAGACCAAACGACTGGATTAGAGGGCCGAGTGTTCACCGATATAAAGTTGGTTATACAGCCAGCACAGTAACAGACGGTAAAATCACCTGCTCTCACAGGCTCACTGTAACTGGCCGAGCAACATCCAACCACTTTCTATGAGATTATTCATATTAACCTAGAATCGATCGAGAATTGACCAACTTTTATGCCTGCATATCTTATGCAGTGATAATCCCTTTTGACTAGATACAAAATAGTGCAATGCTCCATCTACGATATATATGGGCACAGACTTCATTCTAGACTCATGCACACTCGACAGAAATTTATGAAGTGCCTTTCAAGAGAAGCCCCTCGGTTTCATGCCGCGACCCACAGAATTCCGCCACCAAGAGAGGGACAGCTAAGGCGTACGGTGCTGCACCCTCTAAGGATTGCAAACATTCACAGCTAGTCACACGTAGCATTTAGCGCACGCGCACACATGGGCATATAAAGAATAATAACCGAAAAACAATCTGTCAATTCTTAACTAATTTTCAGTCCTACAGAGCACCGCAACAGAATGTGTGAAGTGCTACCCAGCCCGCGACTTCTTCCCCCTTCCCTTTCCAAAAACCCCGCTCATGTTCTACGCCTGTACGTCAAGACCTACTGCGTGTTGGAGAGAGCAAAAGTTCCCCGCCTCTCGTCAATCCCCAGGCATACAGAAACGTACAAGGCAGTACAAAAGATATTAGAAAGGTGTGCATCAATTGTTAAAGGGAAATTGACGGGAAGACAGACAATCACTCTACCCAACAACGAATGAGGGACCAGACGAACATGATCCAAGGTGGCATGCTGGCTCGCTGTCATCAGAATGCTGAAATGTGGAAGCCTCTTGCTGCGGAAAACAGAAGACAACTAAAATGTACAAACACTTTCAAAATGCAGCAGGTTAGCAGTGCTTCCCTGAGTCCTAGAGCAACGTTTGCACACCATTTAACTCGAGGAAGAAATTCGAGCCAAGCAAGCAATTGAAATTTCGTGAATAGAGAGACACCACACCTGCGGAGGCTGCAGTTGGTGCATCCTTTCTACCCATTTGCCGATGTAGTTTGCAGTGGTCATGTTTCGGTCAGTGCATAGACATGTCGTTGTGGCACGCCAGAGCGCACTACTCCCTAACGAACTCCGGATTCTTATAAGGAATTCTCTTGGAAAATCTGTTAAGTTTCCAGACATGAATACAAAATAATTTGGCGACTGCACGAGGCATGACATAGCTGGAGCGAGGGGTAGAATATGCATAATTGCTGGGTCTGTCGACAAGGATGTAGATGCTATCCTGAGCCCAACAAAGTCCACTGTCAAATCGGTACCAAGCTCTTTAAGCCCTGAAAGGGTTAGTGCAAGGTTCGGTTAAGAAAAATTGTGCAGCTTAAGCTGCCAAGAATCTAAGCAGCCCAGTGCATTCATCCCAATGCACATTCGTCGCCCGCAGGACCCATCCCAGGCCGCCACAAGGATCAGAGCATGTGTTGTGTGCGGACGGCGTTGCGAGGCGAAGTTGGAATGTACAAGCGGGGGAGTCCTCGCTTTCTTTTGAGGCAGAGGTCATTATCACCGAGACGTTCCTTTACCTTCTTGCCATTCTAGATTCTGAAAATGGTAGCGGGTGAATGGGTGTCCATCGCATTATACTTACGCGATTATGGTAGTTATCGCAAATTAGAAAAGGCAAGAGCGCATCGCGCCACACTAGAGAATTGCTGAGGCTCGCGAGAGCGCGTCGGCAACGCCGTTGGTGATGCCCATCCTACACTTCACTGCAAGGTCGTTTTGAGCGAGACACCCAAGCTATCGAATAGCTCTAGGGTTATCACGTCCAGAGAAAGCTTTGTAAGCTACAGTAAAGGCAGATGCTTTTTCTGGAGAGTAAAGTGACCTGCATAACAATAGTGTCGGCACTTTTCCACGCCTCACTAAACTACATAGAGTCCAATTCCCGCAGTGATCTCCGCTGCTTCCTTTTAATAAAGCAGTAAGAGCAGCGAGAAGAATTTTTGTGCTTTGGAAAATTAGTAATTAGTTGGGAGAGAAGAGCCTCCACCGCGACTTAACCAACACCTGTTCTTCTATAGCAGTTACAGTCACAATCTGGCAGCGCAAGTGCCGGAGGAGGTGCAGCGAGGCCGGTAAACGTTTTCGTTGCAGCATCAGCCTTTTCTTCCCAGGCTGCAGCCTGCCGTTTTCACAGTAGCTCGGTCAGAGGAGCAGTGACTGCAGCAAGCCAGGGAAAAGATATCAGCAATTAGGCGCAAGCCTACAAAAAATCTTGGCGTGCTAGTTGATGCGTAAGCATAGTGGCTACGACTTAATTTTCTTCATTCTCCTATCTCTGACTGAGCTGCGCTGTGCGAAAGGTGGAGGCCTGATTTCATGGAAAATCCAACACTTTCGAACTTTTGCGTACCTCCGCCTGGTCCATGAAATTCGTGACGGTCGATGTGTATCCTGAAAGCTGAAGGCTATGACGTTGTCCACGAAGAAATATACTTACCCCCGCTTGATGGGTGCACAACGGGCCCAAGCACCTTGGCTCACCTGCTCAAATAGGACATAAACAGTTTCAACCAGCATACCTGTATTCACGAGCTTGCGACCTGCGAGTGTAGAAAATCGTTTCATAGCGATTGTCAGGGAGAAGGGCGTTTGTTAGCAGGCCTCTGGAACGACCAAGGTCAAGTATACTTTCGATTCCTGTCAGGTACGTCGACAAAATGAGGAGTTGACAGCTTCAGCTTTGCAACAATCTTATGAAATCTCAAATGCACTGCATCAGCGCCGCCTTTTTTGGGCACCCTTACCGTGTTATGTGCGGACAAGTTTATCGTTTATTGCAATTTGTCATTTTCTAACAAAACATTCACCTGCCGTTCAATGTTCCCTCCACGCTGTGGGGTCCTTCCGTACGGCGGAAAATAGCTTGGGGCTGGCTCAGGGTGTAGTGCCATATGCTGGACGACCAACGGGGTGGCGGGCTGCTGAGAGCTCGTTACAATCTCCTACCTCCACTGGCTCCTTGACATTTGCCTGATCCTACTGTTCATCGGCCAAAGCGTCTCTACAATGTTCCCGAAAAAGCGCCGCCGGCAGAGCGTTGAAGGAAGGTTGTTCGCTTGCAGCCGTCTTATCTTACTGCTGTCCTACGCCGCCTCATTATCGACGACCTCAAAGCTTCTTGAAGCACGCACTCTGCTCCGCTCATGAAAGGTAAAAGGAACATGCTTGCGAGTACCAGGACCTACTTCTTCGAAGCATTACCTGACACACTACCAAAGCGTGCAGCTGTGCGCGCTTGTGCGCCGGCCATTGGCTCATCCACGCTGTGCCTGGGACTACTTCATAGTACATCGGTCCAGAATACAAGCACAGCTCATGCTGGTTAAACCACATTTAAATTGATGTATCGAAAAGCTTTAGTCGCCTTACCAGTCTTTGCATTTGGCCATCTGCCAGCAAATCTGAATCTTGTGAAATGTGCTGTCAAGTGGACAGGCAGATTGCGTTTCTAGGCAGTCTTCTTCGACAACAGACTCAATTCACATCCAGCGACAAGTGCGGCTAACGATCCTTCATCATGAGCGTAAACGCGTTATAGCGTATGACTGACCCGTGGTAGGTTGCCATCTGTGCACCTCTTCTTCGTATCCTCCTACACTAAACTGCAGCGTGAAAGGCTTTCCGTTTCCATTGCGCCTTCTTTAATAACCCAGCAGCCTGCTTCTCCTGGGACCATCCCAGCTGTTCAAGTTCTTTGGTTTTTGCATGTGCTTGTAGGTTGAATCATGCGATTTATCCCTGTAGAGCAGAAGCAAACAGGCTGTTGGCTGCATATTTGTGGCTGATTCGAAACGCAAAGTTCCTCAAGTTTTCTTTTCTTGTTCATGCACACTGTAGACTACAGTCATTTGATATGGCCTCGACATATATAGATTCCACGTTTTCGCTTGACTCTGACTGTTCAGCCAAAGATGCAGGAGCTGCCTCAGGCGTTCCTGGACCTTCGAATCGTTCACCAACTGTGAAGCTTCATCGGCCGCTTGTTTAAATGCTGACTCGCCAATCATCATGTGGCCGCGAAGTGGAATTTTTGGGAATGCTTCGCCCTTCAGTTGATGCACCACGCAGAGCATTTTTTCTCCTCATCTTGCAAGCAAATAGGCGAAGTTTATCTCCACCTGGTTGATGAAATCTTCGAGTTCATGCCCATGCATACGTTGCCATTCTTAGCTGATCGACAAAACCTCACCGACATATTCTTGAGCATGTTACCGGCTGAGAAAACATGCTAACCTATCAGCTGTGAGGCCAGTGTGCTCATATCGGCTTCCGGGCTTGCTTGTGCCGTCGCAAAAGGCATTCGTCAACCGTGCTTCCCAGTCTCAGGGATGTCCCTCAGAGCACTTGCCGGAGAATATTACGCTACCAATATTCCATATCACCTGATCAGAACCAGAAAAGTTTTTTAGGGAAATCGGGCACCCCCCTGCAATGAGTGCGAACAGTTGCAGCAAACCACGTGATACTATCAAGTGTACCGCTTCATGAACAGCCTCCGTAGGCAGACACTAAAGTATATCGTATCGGATACTAGCTCAAGAAAAAGCGATAGCATAATTCGCATAAATATCTATCCTCTCTCAACCCAAGACGATCAGGGGTCAAATAGGAGGCTAGAGGGACTGTTTGCATGCGGTTTGATACTCCTCCTAAGCACTCTTAGCACTTTGAAGCTAGTTGCGCATCGCACCTAGTGAATAGCCCACGTACCCACACACGTCGCGTCCTGTAATATCAAAGTAGCGCCCCCTCAGAATAAACAAGACATACGAAGAACAAGCAAACTATTCACTCCTTCGCTACTTCTCCATAATGCATGATTAGTGTGGAGGGAGGTGAATTCGTGCAACTTAATCAGCTACATGACGCTGCCCGAAGCGACGCTCAACTTCATTGCACAATACCTCTAGTTGCGGAAACTCCTTGACAGCATCAATACAAAGAAGCACTGGCCCCAGCTAATCTAATAGCGAGGCTGCATTCCAAACTTAAGCTGCTGGGAATTAGCTGGAGGATCACTACAGATAGCTGCGAAGAGCGCTCTATGGAGGCAAGGGAGATACAAAAGTTCTCCGGGAATCGCGATTTCGTACTGCCTGTCGCTTTGAAAGAAGCTGCATTAGTCTAAACTCGCAATTCTTTGGTGGAGCTACTGATGGTTGTCTCATTTGATACCTACTAACATCCACGCATTGGCGGTTAACACAAAGAGCTCGTGTTATTGATGCGTACAGCTTAACATGGAGCGCCATAGTTATGTGTGAGAACCTGTCGTGTCCCTATTTATCCATGCCTCGAAGAATATTCCTGATAATTGTTTATGGTTTCTTTCAATCATGGCTTGTACTGCGTAGTTGATAAGTGGAAGTGAACGAATTGCTGGCTTTTCATGCTTATCTGCATGCACCTCCAGGACATTTTCCCTACGGATTGCTGATTCTCTCCGGGTGGCAGTTTGCTTTTTAATAATGATTTTCACATGCTGGGAATGACAGCTGACATCGCTATGTTGACTGACTAAGCATTGAGAATTATGGAATTTGCTTGATCCAGATATGCGCGCAGTTGGCTCTCAGTCCACTGCTATGCTCCAGGGTTGTGCTAAAATGGCCTGAACAAACTATTGGAGGAGTAAATAGCCGATTGAATAATCTGCGAGGCAACAAAATTTTCTTCTTTAGCTCGAGCCCACATACGCTACTAGCATGCTCAAGCCCGAAAGCATCATGGACACGTAGAGCGAACTAGTGTAAGGTTTGCGGGAACTGTTATTTCAAACTCAAGTGTCCTGTACACTTAATACGCTGCGCGCAGCTCTAGATTCTCTTGCCCTTGCCGTCTTTGACTATTCTATTCAACCTTTACTGAAGATGACCAGTTTTTGAAATCCTCCCCGACAAGCCATTCTCATTTGTTCAGTCAGTCAACACCACGCTCTCAGCTGTGAACCCCAGGCAGGAATGTACGGTTACTAGTTTTTCCCAAAATATCTACTCCTTTCACTGGTACACATTAGCGGCTTTGTGGTCTTGGCGAGACTTTTTGCACGTGTAATTACGTGTGTTGATGGGAAAGGTCAGTACTCAGACGGTAAAAGGTACCACGTTGTTGCTACGTGCCATTTCGTAGGCTAGTTCCTTTCTTCGCATGCATATGACCTAAAAATCCTCTGTAAAGCTGCATACGCCACTTTTGTGGTCAAGTAGGCATTAGAAGGGGCACCTCGGACCTCAATAACCGAGGCTAGCAGCTCTGTTCTGTAGATAATTTTGGAGGAGTGTACCAAGGTGAGATAGCTGGTGGGGGCCGGTTTCAAAGGTGTTTCACCGAATGCGCTCAAGATTTAAGTGTGTAAGAAACAGCACAGGTACTAGTTTGAAGCGGGAAATCGCATTTAAGATGTATGCGAACAAACCCAGTTGCTGGGAGTCTAATTCGCTGAAGCAATGCACGAAAAATGGCTAACGAAATTTGCACCATTCACTGTGTGAATGTCCTCTACAACGGTACCTGAGTACACTTCCCTGATGCACCTTTGACATCCTTCGAAGCTCCTCGGGGTATTTCACTGCAACCGAGCGCAGTAAGCTCTGTGCAAACATTCCTAGCGGCTGGTCAGCCGCATGAACAAAAGCACCATGCCCCAATTGCAGGGGACTCTCCAAGGAAGCTGTACAGTCGACATTGAATTGCTGCGTTCCATTAAGGCTCAAAAGCCTCTTGATCACACAATTCAAGAATTCTGTAGCAGACACCAGCAGCTTCTCTTTACACTGCCCGGATGTGGCTAGAGCCCTGCAATTCCCATCCTGCTGCACATGGAATTTTTCTCCTGTTTTGTACATCTTGACGTCAATGTAATGCAGAAGGTCAAATTGTACAAATAAACGCAAAATTCCTAAAAGTTCCAGGGCCCCACATCTTTCATGATTCTCCATGAAGTACTGTACAAGCGCATGCAAGGTCGAAAGGAGTTCCTCTGCTCGAAAAAGTTGTTGGCGCAGCAACAGAGGCCTTGACTGCTGTATGCACGCTGTGAGACATGGCTGGTGAGAGTCTAGCCTCAGATCGAGTAGCAAAAGCAGTCGCAACGCTTCAGCAATCTGCGCGGCATCTGCGGGCTCCGCAGTTGAAAGCCCCCCAACAAGGGTAACAAGTAGTTGGCACAGAATCAGGCTTTGTCTCTTCAGGAAAAAGGGGTCTTCTGCAAGCAAATTGGAGGAGGCACCCTTTATGATCTTTGCCCCTGCCCACAGCACAGTGCACCAATTCCCATACGAAGCCTCAATATGGGACAGACTCGCCGAAGCGCACGGAAGATTATGTGGCGCAGGATCAGTACTAGTGCACACATCCGCTTTACGAGGGATTTTCTGGCCGCCAACGACATCGAAGTCAGCAGGGAAGGTACAGCAACGTTTATCTGAAGACTTTCTGACACGGCCAGCAGACCCAAAACCGGAAATAGACTGCCTCATGGCATGAACATGCAACGAAGCCCCAATGGCTTTGAAGAGAAAGGTTATTTCTGATGTTCCAATGGTGACTCCAGCAACGGCAAGCGAACGGCAGATCGAAGCGAGGATGACTGGTGTTAGAACGCTTGCCGTAACACCCCTTAGTGATACATCAGCGTTGGAATCCAGCACACACATGAATTGCGTATCAGTAACCACGTCCCGGTTTTTACTCGGTCCCAGTGCAGGCAGCTGGTAAACATTAGAATGATGCTGCTGTAGGCGGCACAGAAGACGCAACAGTAGCCTCTTGGCTACTAAGCGTGTTAATCCGCATTTGAGAGCGGCGGACATTGCGGCCGCCAGTAATTCATCTGCCCGTCCATATGCCTCCTGCTCTTTGCGGAGCACTACTGCGCCGCGCTCTTTACGGGCGCTGGCTTCGGCAAGCAGCAGCATTGCCACTGCAGGAGCCAGAGACTTCTGTATACGATGCCATAGAGCTACCGCTGACAATCCGCTAGCGACTCGCAAGTCACAAATAGCTCTCGGTGGCATGCCGGAAGGAACGGGTATTGGTAAGTGCGTGTCTCGTAGGGTGTATTCTGTGAGTTTCGCTTTTGCGGGGTGCACCGTATTGTCTGCAGAGGGCGTTGAGCACTCTGGCAAGCCCAATACGTTTGGGTCTGTCCGGAAAAGCGTGGATTCAGCTGTTTTTCCTCCATCTAGAAGGCAGGCCCCTGGAGATAGGGTAGTGGCAGTAGTAAACGCTGTTGGCAGCTGTACAAATTTGTCCGCGTCGGGTTTCTGACTCAGCAGACGAATGCAGGCCTCTGCAGTCATTACGCATGTTTTTAATGGTAGTCGCGTAGGCAGGTCATCTTTTTGGGTCAGCAACTCAAGGAGCTGCGTTGCCACTAAAAGAGACAGCCGTTGCAGCGTTGCCACCTCAGACATGCCAGGCAACGTCGAATGTGGTATGTGGCCGTCGACCTGAAAACCTGGGTAGGAGGAGCGACTGAGGATTACAGTAGAGGAAAGGCTTCCAGAAACAGCCGTAGGTGAAGAGACATACCGCCGTCTACCAGTTTGAGCTTGAAGACCTTTTGGAGGTCTGCTGGGATCGTGTGGGGTCAGCTGATCAGGCTGAACGGCGTTGGGGCCGGAAGAGCTCTTATTGCATTGTACCCGCAGCATTGTCTGCTCCAGAAGTAGGGCAGATAGCTGCAGACCGAAGGCCACACTGGATGGGTGAAGGCAACGGGGCGGCAACAGCAGCTGCTGCAACACTGAAGCAGCCAATAGAGGCGGACAGCGGCCAAGTTGAGCTAAGTTACAGCAGAGCTGCAGGAGCCGGAAAAAAGAGACAGTGCCGGCGATTCCCTGAATGCTCTTTGTAGTTTCTTGGAGTGATTTAACCACAAAGGGATACGGGGAGGCTTGATCACTGCGAGTCTCGGGGATGGCTTCCTGTGGTAAAATTTCCTTACACAAGTGCCTGCGTACAGCTCCGCTCGAACGCGCCTGCGGGCGTTCCATCTGTGCCACAATACGAAATGGATGTCCCTTTAAGCCCAGTAAGCACCTCAGTTCTTCCAGGGCAACCTTGCTTTTAGAGGAGGTTGGCTCACCCGCGAGGGACTCTCTGAGAACGCGAACCGCGGCATTTTGCGCTTCGGCAATGAGCTGCTGCGGTCTATCAAGAACTGCTGTTTTGGGTAAATCCAGTTCAATCCGTGAGAAATGCAGTGAAGTTGAGCCTTTGGGCACAGATAGTTCAAACTTTGGTAGCTTTGCGTAGTTCGCTAGAGGCTTCACCGTGGATCTTTCTTCCAATGCCAATCGGTGCCCCCTTCCACTCCCCCAAATCCGCGAATTCCAATTGATACGTGGATATCCTGAGCGAAATGGCTGAAACAACGAAGACCTCTTGCAGTGCCTACGCTTCCAAGTTGACTGCCCCAAGGTGACCCACGGATGACGCAGTACAGCGCATCGCCCCCTTAAAAAAGGATACAATGAAGGCCAGTTGAGCCCTCTTTGCAGGTGAGATCTCAGAGGCAGGTAAACAGGGCTCGGCATCCCCGATTTTAGCAGTCTGTAATGTTAACGCATAACCCCTGTTCTACTCATCATGTACAGAAGTGTACAGGCATGCGGCCTTGTGCTGAAACAGAAAGACTGCTATTTGTGTGAGAATATAGTTGGTGTTCTCCAGACGTTTTTTAGTTCCCTTCCCTGGGCCCCGTCAGGCCCCGTCGCTGGGGGCCCCGTCGGAAGAATACCTTGGCCTCAAGGCCACAAAAGCTCAAATAATGTGCGGAACAGGTACCCCAATTAAGGTTCTGATTACCTGCCGATTTATTCACATATATCTTCCGACTCCTGACTTCACGATCAGCTTTCAAGCACTCGGTCTACCCAGTGGTATGTACTAGGGTCACAACTTTTAACCCAGAAACTGCGCCGAACTCAGCACTCCACAGGGATCATTGCCCAAGGATTTAATTCATACGCCTTATCTGCATGGTGCTCATACATGTAGGAGCTTTATTTAATTGGCCATGCCGAGTGAGACTCTGCCCCCCACAAGGCGTATACGGGATTGTTGCCCCAAATCAGAACCCATGAAACGGCTCAAAGAAAATGCTGTCAAAAGGGCGCAGAGCATTAAAAAGAGGCGTAAATTGGAGTTAGTGGAAGATTTGCTGCGGCAGCACTGCGCAGGCATGTGGAGTGACAGCGAGGAGGACACAAAAGCCAGCTGTACTTCCTTGCCAGTCCATGTACGAGATGACCATGAAGATGCTGTGAATCAGGACGAAACAGATGAAAGCAATAGCACCCGTCTTCCCTTCCCATCTCAACCTCAAAAGAGGAAAGGTATTGATGTAGGGAATCCAAGGAAGCTCACTGCAGCCGCAGCTACATCAGCCTCTCCTGAAGATGTAACTAGACCCGAGCTGCAGCGCCGAAAGCACCAAGGTGCTAATGCTGACAATGCAAATGTAAAACCATTTTGTTGCGATCGCGAACGCGAACAGCAGGGCTTCCGGGCTGACATCCGGCCCTTGGAGCGCCAAGTAAAAGGACGTGAGGAATGGGTAAGTATGCGTAAGGGTTCACTAGCACGAAGCCGAGCAGCAAAGAGGGCCGAGAATTCAGTTCCAGCTCATATTGTATGCGCGGAACAGGGAGGTGCCAGTCACTCACGGTCCCTTCACCTGCTAAGAAAGCTAGGAGGTCTTTCCCCCAGCGGCGAATCGAAAGAAGCTACTGACACAGCCCGTGGAATGGACTCAAAGGGACATTCAAATGGACCAGGGCGGGACAAGGAGTTACAAGCTGAATTACAAAAGGAGTTTGACGCTACGGTGCATGATATTCGGAATCTGGGTGGGTGGCTCTTTCTTGCCTCTCTAATAGTACTTGCCCTTGATTTCATGCATCCCCGAGCTTTCTATTTCTGTAATGCAGTGTTTGCTTTCCTATTTATGTAGGGTACTGCGTTTTGTTATGGATTTGGTTTGGATCGCAGTCTACCCTCACTTGGGCCGTTTCCAACGGCGCCAATTCGTCGCAGCATCACTACGAGCCCTCGGCATAGGTTGGTTTGTGTGCTTAATATGTGGTACCTAATAAATAGTACTCTCCTCTCCACTAGGTAAATGTATTGTTCTATAATTTCGAGACAGGACGTGCAACCCTAAGGATCCCGCACAGGAACTGCTTTTAGCAAATTTATGATGCTCCCTTTGTATTTAGCATACCAAGAGGCAGCAGCTAGGTTTTCCAGACTTAATTTACTACAATCTCTCTCTTTCCAGTGTCTATCCACACGAACTGGGATCTTTGTGCATAATCGCTGTTCTCAGCTCCTAACAAGACGCAGAAAATGCCTCTCCCCGAGCTCCGGTCTCGCAAGAAGGCAACAACAGCTGCCCTCAGGGCAAGATGGGCTGAGGCGAAGGTCCTCGGTGTGAGAAGCCACATAGACGACCAGGGATCATTGCAGCAAGCCTCGCGGAATCGTTCAAAACTATCGGCCCAAGTAACACGAAGAAAGCATCTTCGAGAAATTTTCAAGCACGCAGGAAAGCACAGATCCAGGGGAGTACGTACAAGTACAGGGTGACCTCTTGCATGTGCTTGGCTCGCATACTAGCTAGCAATGTCTTGAGTTGCTCACCACGGAAGGCTTGCTGCTTTAATGCTGCCTACTAAGTGGCTTACAACGTTTTTGAAGTGTTATGCCTCTTTTTTTTTCTCGAGTGCTTTTGTAGGCTTCGCTGTAGTTAATCAAAAAGGCATTGCACACGCAGTAGTGATATGCATGCGCCATGTAGTAATTTGCTGCTTTCGGGTGTCTGCCTCGTTGGCGACATCAGCAGCGAGAGCTTGAACTGCAAACAATGTGTTTTGCCTTGTATTTGACCATATTACCCATTTCTGGGTAAGGCAACATGAGTAAAGGGGACATTTGATGTATTAGCCAGCTAGGCAGTGGGAATGTAGCGCGTTAAATTGTGGTGAAAGATGTTCTGCGCTAGTTTCGATTAGTAAGAATTTGTAAAGAATTGACTCATTGACTTGCTTTCTGTAGATCCTTTTATTGCAGAGTTCTGTGCGCAATGTGTGTCTCTGCGCTGAGTGCTATGCGCAACTAGGTGCGCTTGATCATAGTCCTTGGGCAGTGCAGCAATGCACTGAAGCAATCCGTCACCCATCTCGGGAAATCAGGCGCGGGCAGGGAGAACCCGGGAGTTATTGATTCCCGCCATGTTTCTGTTGTAATATGTAGTCCTAAGTAAAGTGTCTTTCCGGGGAGGGTTAAGATGCGGTGTTGTAGCTGGTGGCGCCACCTGTTATAAGACAACGATCATCCAGTGGCTTTGGATGCAGCGCGATCGTAGATTTCTCTAGAACTGTTGTCTACCTTGGATCGACTTGCTAAATAATCTAGCTAGCTAGTTTTCTTTGGCAGCAGTAGGCGAGAAATCGCCTGGGGCTATTACAGTTGAACGTGGCCCAACGCCTGTTGCGGAAGCAGAGGCTGGCTTAAAGGATGTGTGGATGCCGTAGTCATGCAGCTAGTAGAAAAACACGATCCAACAGCCAATATATTGTTTATGGATGCGTCAGTGAGGTTTTGTCGACCAGATCAGTATGGCGGACTAGAGATGGGAATGTTCTTGAAGATTTTGATAGCGGGTTGGAGATATATGTACAGTACATGTATTACAGCGATGCGTTTTTAGGTGTTGATCCTAATATGGACTTCCACGGCTGGAAGCTATCTAGCTTGTTAATAGTACCACTAGCATTGGTGATTTACTTTCTATTGGACGGTTCGCTGTGTGCAATATGTGAACCTTGCAAGACTTTGCAGAGCATAGTTTTCGTTCGTTTCAGCCTTGGTCTCTATAGATGAGTAAAATGACGCGAATGTCGTATTTATTCTTCACACTATGGCCACGTCCAGTAGTGTCCTGTTGGGCAAAAATCTTAGGCATTGTCAGTTTTGAGGGCTGTCGACGAATTAATGCAAGTCGAATAAATGCGGTAGTGTCGACGTTCAGCAGTGGTCTCGACACTGGTAGAGCCAGTTTAAGTGCGCCTCATATGTTCAGTGTAAAGAGAAGCACAGCTACTGCACTGTTGTGGATTCTTGGGAGGGACCTCAGCAAAACTCTTCTTGGCATAGAAGGAGCGTTGCCTCAGGTTGTTTGTAGATGCATGTTAATCATCGTGTATCCTGTGCCCCAGCTGATAGTGTTGTTGGACCACGTAAAGCATCTGCAGCAGAGTCCCCATGCGAAGTAGTAGGAAGTGACAGTATAGAGTCTCAGCAGCTGACATATATCTTTCAACCTCACTCTTCACATGCATTGTACTCTGGGGATATCAGCTGTGTGCCGAACTTTGAAGTTCACCTATCCGTAGTGCCGCACAGTGGTCTTTAGGAACCCAGATTTTTAAACCCATTGTTATGCGTTTAATCCTACTGCTTCCAATTGTGGACGTTCGGCGAGAAACCAAGGTTATCTGCCTGGGGGATCGACGTAGATAGCCAAGGACAGCGAGCGCCACAGAAGTGCTTGCGTGTTTTAGTTCTGAGTAACAAAATAGCATGAACTCCGGTGCATTGAAGCTTGTATATATCAGGTATAATAGTTACATATCTGTGCCGTTCGTATTGTAAGATCGATCAATTAACTCAGAGCATCTTCAAGTTTTATGGGTGGTTCAATGAATGCAAGCTCACCGCCCATCTCGGTGGCTTTGCCAGTTCGATATGCTATGTTGCGCATGCGTTTCAAAATGTCCTGCGAAGGGTGGCCAGGAAGAGTTCCTCGTGCGAGGCGTTGAATCATTAGCTGTGGACCACCCGCACAAAACTGACAGCGCAATCGCCCAGAGCACTGTGAGTGTGCATGCAGCATTATATGTATCCTTGTTTAGAGCTCGTCATAGATTGCGATGTCGTTTTGTTTGGATGTGCTGATTCTGCAGAATGACAAGGCAGCCATTTTTGCTTCTTTGGTCTATTGATCGTTTTGAAAAATGTCATCGCCGAAGCTCGGAGCACAGATGCACGAAATATGCATATGCATACAGAAGTATATCGCTGGGAGGTCTTTTTAAGTCCTAGGTGTGGTGTGCATAGCAGTACGTCTCAGGCGTAGGGCAGGAAGTTTAGAAGGCATTAAAACTGGTGAACTGCAAAGCCAGCCCGCGCAGACTATATCACCTTGCATGGAGCGCATGCTTTTACTAAGCATATACGTTTTTCTAGCTGCTTCAGCTGCTGCCGCGTATCACGCAGACACAAAAGCTCACCAAAAGACAGTGTGCCAATGCCCAAGCTGTTGGAAGCATGTGTCCATTTGTTGCTTAAACTGAGAGTATTATCACCAATCACAAACGTGATACTTTAGTGCTGAATATGCACTATCTGGGACCGCGGCGGTCCCCGACAGTGCAGAAGGTTCTGCTTTAGCACTGGACTGCTGAACAGCTCACTAGCCCTTCATGGTTTGGGTGTCTATGAGTTGGCCTCCGATTACAGGAACCACAGGTGATTCTTTCCTCGTACACGTGTTACATGTTCAATGGACCCGTCGGAAGACACCTCTTGGCACGCTAATCGACCAGGTCGCTTTTTGTGCAAGTCACACGGTGGACGTAAGGTTTTATATTGGTGCAGTTGTTCCAATACTGTTCTACGGAATCTTGACGCAAAACGCGGTGCTGTTTTGCTTGTTGTGGAGGGGTCGTAAAAGGTAACCAACCGCAGTATAGTGTCTAGCACAGCATCTTCTTAAGAGCCATAGTTTTTGTAGTACACTGATTCTTGAAATGTTTGAAATAGTGCTCTCCGCTGTTCGCTGATATGTGGCCTTATCCAGCTTGTTAATTTCAGAGCACGGTGTATTCCCATAATCCGAGAATGCTGTAACCAACCCTGGTGCCCCGATTTGAGGTTGGCCAGAGTATGGTTCGTGCATATTTCCTTTTTAGCACCGCACGGAGCAGTGAGCATAAATTTTACCTTCACCAATATCCAGCTGAAAAAAATAAACAATTCACCGTCAAGGCAGGTTCCAATCACATAGCATTTTTGCATTTTTGCATCTAGTGTTGTATGAGATATAAAACAGACATGTGACACTTTTGTAGAGTACCATAGGCGGCGCGTGACTTGGCCAGCACGCATATAGGCAAGAAGCAAAGCTATGTTTAACGTCTTCAACAGCTATTTTCGTATCGGTCGCACTTAGATTGTTACACTAAGCTAAATCTTACGCCGAAACCAGCCGGGAGATAGTCCAGGACTAGGGTGACAGGAAGGTGGTAAGATCCTCATTAAGGTAACAGTCGTCCTGTACGTTCTGATCTACTGTAATAGTTTTAGGGTTTAGGGTTTAGGGTTTAGGGTTTAGGGTTTAGGGTTTAGGGTTTAGGGTTTAGGGTTTAGGGTTTAGGGTTTAGGGTTTAGGGTTTAGGGTTTAGTGTTTAGGGTTTAGGGTTTAGGGTTTAGGGTTTAGGGTTTAGGGTTTAGGGTATAGGGTTTAGGGTTTAGGGATTAGGGTTTAGGGCTTAGGGTTTAGGGCTTAGGGACATGTGAGTGAGCAATAGAACGTACTAGATATAGTAGGCTGTATACTGCTTGATAAATGAAGA